ATGACGGAGGCTGATAATCAAACAAAATTGGAATTATTTCTTACTGGGGAATTCTTAAACTAAGATAAAAGGAAACAGTCCCCTGTTTCCTGAAACAGGGAAACGTGGTATGTTTTCTGGTCTGAAAACTGATCTCATTGCATCATTCTTTCTTCCCCACTAACCTATAAAAATAATGTTTTGTAGGAATGAATGAACAAATGCCCTGAAGCTTTACCTTCCTTCTTAGAATAATGACATCTATCAAAGAAATGCTGAAACCAGAAAGTAGCAGTTAACTTTATAGCAAACTTTATCACATTTTTAAAAAACACAATCAGTTAACATCAAACAAAATCCTTTTGCCAAAAAGTTTGTGGAATTAACTGCAAATTTATATCTCCAGATACAATGCAGTCTGGTTTACTACTACTACAGAATTCCAGTGGCTTCAGATAAAACAGTGGATTATGTCTCTGATTCAGGGTTTAACCCCATATCATATCTTTGCATCATATCAGTTACAGCACTTTAAATCATTATATCTCTTCACTAGTTTTACTGGCCAAGATTTACTTCAATATGAAACTAAGTACAGCAAAACAATCAATGGAGATTTTAATTACACCAAGTTGAAAGACATATTTCCTTATTCCTTCTTGCTGTGCCTCCAGTACTTGAGTACAGTATTACATGTGGACTGTCTGCCTTAAGCTTTGATGGTTTAGGACTCTTCCAGAACATTGAACACTCACATTCAACTTCCTGCATTCCTTTTTACCATACTCTCTTGGGAGCTAATACTCTGAGATACTAAGTGCCCTCAGCTGTTAGGAGAAAAAGAATTAAGGACTCTTGGTCTGGTAGGAACAACTCTGAATGAAATGTAGTGTTCTGCAGTACTGTCAGTTTATTATGTGTGATACACCAGACATCATACCACATTTGTGTGGTTAGAATTATCCCTTTTTGACCCTGCCTTCTGATTAAATAAGAGGCAAGTAAATTGATTTTTAGAGGACAAATTAACCTAGAGCAACTGTACTGTCATTTTTGATGTGCATGTAAATAGAGCTTGAAACTGGCAGAGTCATCTTGCTACCAAACTATCGTTATTGGCAGTGTAGAATGTTAACTAACCCATAGGAATCTATGTGCAGAAATAAACCCAAACAGTTGAGCTGTCTTGTTAGCAGTACAGTGTAGCTTTCTACTCTTTGAAAAAAAAAAATTAAAAATTAAGGGATCATTTTAGTTTCTGAAGTACAACTATTCTAGTGTAGGGAATGTGTGATTACTTTTTTGTACATTTCAGAATTGTGTATTAAACCTTATATAAAATGGTTTGCTTTAGACTTTGTTCTGAAATGTGATATGTTTGCCATAGTTGTATATGCCTGTTTATGGCAGAAATAGGTTTTGCTTAGACTTTTGTGTGTGCATGTTTTACATGAACATTTTTGTAGCACAAATACAATACATCTTAGAAATGGAACCGTGACTGTGCAGTTTGACTGTACAGAACTGAATATTTCTCATTAAGAGAACAGTTGCAAAGGAATGCACTGGCACTACATTTGCCATGTAATGGCTGCAGTGTACTAACAGAATGCATTCTATCAAATGTCTTGGTAGGTCCTTCAGAGTAATTAAGAACACCATTTTATCTGTGTGAAAATCAAAAGTTGGTGTTTACACTTCTAGACAGAGAGAGCTCAGACACGTTTTAAAGGCTGATGTTAATCAGGAGGAGTCACGTCCTGCGTTCAATGCAGAAATGGTGTTTGTTACACACTTCTAGTGCCATTCAGCAGCAGTTACAGCAAGGAAGTTTACAGCAAAATTCTGTTTGACATTAGAAATAGTTACAAAAGCATTGTCATAAATACAGCAGTTCTCCCTGAGAATAAAATTAATTTATGGCAGTTGTTCTCTACAGAAATTTGGAGTGTAATCCAGCAATGTGGGCTTGCAAAATCTGACCTTTAAAAAGCTGAGGCCACAGCTTTTGGGAAGAATCACTAAATACTGGCATTTCTCTCCCAGGTATTTCTAAATTCACCAACAAGAGTCACGTTCAGGGAACGTGGTGATCAAAACAGAGTGGTCAGTATTAAACTTTTCTGTTACATAATCTCAAACATCCAGATGCCTCAAAAGTGTAGGCACCACAATTGGAACCCAGGCACAAGCTGCTGAACTATCTTCAAGACAGAGAAAATGCAGTCACAGAATCCATTGAACTGGAAGGGCATTATGTAATCAAAACACAGGAAAGCTCACCGATGTAAACAATTATTATTATTTGGATGGCATCTTCAGTGTATTATAAACTTAAAGCAAACTCTATTAAAACTGGAAAAAAAAAAACTCTTCCACTTATCTCCAGCAAATGTTCTGTTGAAACCCTTTATACTGTGGTCTATTAAATTGCCTTTGGATGACTTCTAGACCTCAGTGCAGATGGTATTTTATGTGAGATACGTGGAACTGAGTTGCACATAGTACATACATGGCCAATAAAGAGCAGCCATTAAAACCTGAAGTAATCTCAAATATTCCTTTTATACCAGTTTGCTAGGTAAAGTGCAAAAAAGAGACACCTACAGCATTCTGTAGTGTCCAATACTGAATATAAAGACTTTTTAAGTTAAAAGTGCATAAATGTATTTGTAGAAATCTAGCCAAAAAAAAAGAAAGCCATTCTAGCTGTGAGAGCAAATTCTCAAATAAAAGCAGGGAATGGTTAATAACTATATAATCACATTATTTTTGTAAAAAATACAGCTCAGATATTCAAAAGACAGCCTAAAATAAATTATAATAATATAAAATTTAAATAGGAACCAAAGCATTGCCATTTATATTGCCAAAGGAGGCACTTTGTACTTTGAAGCGTAGGAAATTAAACCCCCAAAAGTGTTACCCATACTTTTTTAAAATCGAGGATGTAGATACTTTCAAAGCTGTTTTTGATGTTTAACAGTACAGATTTGTTTTTGTTGTTTGAGAAATTTGTAGTAAGTAATAGCACAGGCTTTTTTCCAGATAGGATTTCCTTCACAGAACTGCTTGCAGTAGGAACAACGCTAACCCCAGGAGCTGTTCCTCTTCTTATTTTCACGGTCATAATTATGTCTTAGCATCTCATTTTGTGAAAAGAAGAAGACAGACACCTGTCTCTGGGGCCCTCTTCATTTAAGCACTACTTTACTAAATGCAAATTATGGCAATCAGGGCGTCAGTTTATGTATTGCCTTTCTATAAGAAACCATGATGCCTTTGTATTTGCTGTTTGCACCCCCGAAATCAATTCCATACGTTTGAATGCCATATGTTTTGCACATTGTACTGTATATATGTAATGCATACTGTATTTTTATATGTGTACTACATTTATCAAATATTTTGTACATAGTGGCAATATTGTAGCTACTGAGGAAATGTTTGATATTTCAGCATTTTTGCTAAGTGTCTCAAATAAAAAAGGAAAACTGTGTTCATTTGTCTGTGGTTACTTAAAAGTGAAAAATAACATCAATATTAATGAACAAAAATTCTTTTATGAGTCTGAAACATTTGGCCTGTGTTACAAGTACCTTTCTCACGAAAAGGAGAAAGAATGAAATCTGCACTTAGACAAACTTCAAAAAACTTGATGATTTCTCTTCAAAATTGGAGCCAAAATCTCCAAGACCAGAGTTTTTTTTAACTCTTGGACTTTGGTTTTTTTAAGCAGTACCATTACATAGACTCATAGAATGGTCTGGGTTGGAAGGGACCTTAAAGCTCATGGTGTTCCAACCCCCTGCAATGGGCAGGGACACCTTCCACTAGACCAAGTGGCTCAGAGCTCCATCCAACCTGGCTCTGAACACTTCCAGGGCTGAGGCATCCACCTCTCTGGGCAACTCATTCCAGCGTCTCACCACCCTCACAGTAAAGAACTTCCTGCTAATATGTAATCTAAACCTACTCCCAGTTTGAATCCATTCCCCCTTGTCCTGCACTTCAATTTACGACTTTCCCGGATTCTTCCAAGGTTTCCAAGATGTGCTGGTTTGTGGGATTTCATATTTGCAATCTGCATTCTGCTGGGCTTGTGCTCAAGAACACCCCAATGCATTTCCTCAGGAGAATGAGCTATGAGCTGTTTGCACAAGCTTCTTTTCATGATGAAGCTGTTCCATTTCAATATTTACTTCCCCTTGTGAGGGCAGTCCCTGTGCTGATCACCCACCCTTTCCTCAGAGTCTGTTCTGCACTGATGACATCAGAACTCGGCCAAATATTAAAAACCCATAAAGCAGTAAAGCTGCACAAATTAAAAATTACTAATATGCCCTGTAAATTTGATAAAATACCTTTTCTCCATTGTAAAAGTTTGTAGGCTATATATGCCACTAACTTACCTTCAGCCATCACAGACCGAACACAAATCTTGCAAAACAAGTGCAGCACTTCTGGACTATGCATTTGTGCATTACAGAAATTCCAGCTGGAGTATAACAGAGGTAAAGCACTTGTTTTGGTGCCAACTGGCAATCTGGGGGTTTGATTGTTTTACAAAGAAATACAAACACAAAGCTCTCCCTCCCAGACTGTGTTCGTATTAGTATTACGATGTAAACACAAAACAAGGTCTGATAAAACTTGAGATTATGCTGAGTGAACTTCTCCCACAGGCTAAACCGTGGTTTTCAATAAAGCCCTAGTTTATTAAAACATGTTCTACAGATGGCCATCCTCACATTTGTCTTTACTCTGTACCACATTAAATGCTCTTTACTGCTGCCTATTGGCTTGCTGTGTATTGTACAAATGCTGCTAGTGACATATTTCTTAGAGTATTTGTACTGTCTCAAGTCAGAGATGTTTCTTTCTACTGAGACCTTCCTAATCCAAAATCAAAATAACCAACTAGAGCATCTGAGACCCAACAGCTAAGGTTTGTTTTTTTGCCTTTAAGTGTTTATCCAAAAATGTAACAACTCTAAGAAATGCTTCATGTAAAAAATTACCTGAAGAAGCGTCTCCAGCCTTCCCTGCAGATGAAGGACTGCGAGGCCACTCCACCTTAGCACTGCATCATTCTTGAGCCCCTCCGAGACAACTGCTGGGGATTAAAAGTTAAGATGGTGAACAGAAATGTTCTTTCATAAAGCCAGGACAAAGTGTAAGCTCAAGTAATTGCTAACTGAGGAGCATTCCAGCTATCCCATAACAAATCTTTATAAACTCAGCTGCACCAAATCTACATAAATACAATTATTCCCCAGGATCTCCTCAGAAGAGTTGGGGGATATGTCAAAAGGCTTGGTTTTGTACATGAAAACAGACATCAAAGACTCTCCTAAAGCAACACCTCCACCTCATTTGAGTGAGGCTTAGGGGAGGAAGGAAAAAAAACAGGTGATTATTTTCTCCTTCCAACAAAATCTCTGATGTTATCTTTCAGCAATGGAGTCTTCCAAAGACTTTCCTTTAGGAAGGTCACGTTGTGTTTAAAAAAAGGTTGTGTCAGAAGAGAACACTGCATGAGGAGGATTCAGCATGAAGAGGAAGGGCATTCCCATGGAGCTCAAACAAGGGTAATGACCAGCATAAAAGACACTTCCAAACAAAAGTATTCAGACAGCAGAAGGGCAATTACATGTTTTTTAAATCAAAATTGCATTTTTAGTTTAGACAGATAGAAACAACTTTTCCAGGCACTGTGAGGAACTTAGGGAATAGCCAAATTTTGTAAACCAAATCAAGTACTTCCTCCTAATCTACACAGAAGATCCTTATCATTTCAAATTGAAGTTTCCATCTCCCCATACAGTTAAGGAAGAACTTGATCAAAGTTTTTTTGCCATTAAATACTATTTCTGATGCCAACCAAATGCATTTATTAAAAATGTAGTGTATTTGAAGAGATAAAACTCACATGAATTCCACAAGCAATTCAAACAGCCCCCTTTGCTTCTCCCACCACAAAATTACCTCTCACCTCACAAAGATCCAAAAGCATGAATAAATCAAATATATGTGAGCTGCACAGGAACTGTGATGGCAAGTTACTTGGCCAGCCCATCAGTCATGTCTGTAGGGATTGGAAAATAGGACTCATCTCCTTTGGGACACCTATTCCACGGTAGGAGCAAATGCGCTTGACACGGGCTGACTATTCAGTAATGTAATGTGACACCTTTCACTGCAGGTGCAACTAATTCAAATTGCTGTTTGCTCAAACACAGGCAGCATAGAGTTATCACAGAGAAGCTGACAAACGATAACTTTTAAAGCCTGAAAACTTGTTCATGCACTCAAGCCATGAGTTTCCCTGATGAGAGTTCAAAGAACATCCCAAGAGGATACAGAAGTATTTCCCTGATAATTACAGGGTGGTTCAGCTAGATGACCTTTGAAGGTCTCTTCCAAACAGAACTATTCTGGTTCTGCATCAATTTTTTAATGCACCTGCTTTACAGGACCAACAAATTAGCAACTCTGATCTCAGCCTTTACAAAGGTACCTCTGTAATACGTTCACGTGCTTCTTCCACAAAAAAACCCAAACCAAAACCAAAAGGGATATAAAACTTGGGTGTTCAGCAGAAGTTTCATGGAGAATTTAAAGGGATCTCCATTAAAGTAACATTAAAAAAAAAAAAACCCCCACACAGAAAAAAACCACAAACATTAAATGAAAACTAAAAGTTTTGCTTTCGGGTCACACTTGTAAAAATCTAGGAGACGAAATCTAGAAAAAAAAAATGTATTTTAGGATCTTTTTTGTTTCCAAACAGTGAGTTTTTGGAGGGAACAGCTACCAGCTAGCGAGTGCATTTAAGTTAGCATTTACCATTTAATTATCCCAACGTTTTGCATTTCTGCTTCTCTTCTCGGGGGAGGAAAGTTTCAGTCCCGCTTTGCCCCCTCTCTCCTGACCGGTCCGAAGCGGCTGCACCGCTCGGGTGCCATCTCCGGGCACGGCGCCCTCACGGCCCCGGGGCCGCTGAGGGCGAGCGGGCGAGCGGGACGGGCAGAGGGCGGTACCCTCACAAACGGCCCCGCAGCTCCCGGGGACAGCGACAAGGACAGAGGGAGAAAGAGGGAGAAAAAGGGAGAAAAAAAGGAGAAAGAGGGAGAAACAGCGAGAGCACGACACGGCCACACTCCGCTCCCGGTCCCTCCCACACGTTCCGCCCCCTCAGCGCCTCAGGTGCCGGCGCCGGGGGCGGGGCGTGGGCGGGCGCGCGGGAGTGGCGCCAGCGATAGAAGGGCGTCGGGAGGAGCCCTTAACGCAGGCGCGGTGGCCAAGTGGTAAGGCGTCGGTCTCGTAAACCGAAGATCACGGGTTCGAACCCCGTCCGTGCCTTGGCGGGTCCGCGCGGGCCGGAGCTTTCCCATCATTTTTAGGGGGAGGCGGGTCCGCGGGGTCGGGCCGGGAGCGCTCCCGGCAGCGGCCGGTCCGCCCCCGGGCGCGTTCCCCGCTGCACCGGCTGCTGCGGCTCCAACAAAGGGACACGAGCAATGTCGTGCCCCTCCCGCCTCATTCGCACCCTCCCTCCTGGCGTGTGCAGCGACAGAAACGTTTGTCTTCGTTTTTTCCTGCGGTCTAATCCTGTTTTTTCAGGAGCTCCGCTCAGTTTAGCCTGAAGAAGCAAAAGTGGAAGACAGTTTGAAATGCAGCGACCGAGATCACCCTGTAATTCCACGTTCTTTTCATTGGTCCGCCCCCACCCCGCAACCATGGAATTCATTTAATTATTTATTAATTTTGTTCTGCCTTCTGATTAGTAAACCATGAGGTGTCTTCATCTGTATCACCAACCACTTAGAAGGATTATTTGCAATCTGGTTAGTGTTCACTTTACATTTTCCATTTTTTTTAACAGAGAAACTCCCTGTGACACTGCAAATGGGTAAGGGAAGGGCGCCCTGGCTACACTCCAAGAGCCCAGCAGTGTCACCTTCTCCAAGCAGAAGCAAACGCTGGGTGCTCCAGGCACAGCTGATCCTGCAGGATCAGGAGGTCCAACCCAGCGACAGTGACGGGATCAGACACCAAACCCACACACACAGTTAATGGCTGACAGCACTTAAACCCACCCTAACAGTGTAAATAATTACATTATTACTAAATGAAGGAAACCTTTATTGATTTGTGTTTGATACTTACTTACCATTTGAAATTTCACTCACCACTGTGTCCACACGGTCGATTTTGTTTTCTTCCTGACAAATCTTCCTCTCGTATTCTGCACTGCTGTTGTCAAGAATCAAAATTGTATGATTGCACAAACAGAAATAACTGTCATTAACTATTTACAGTGGATTTTGTAAAATCTGTTAAAAACAAAACGTGTAAATTCTGTTGGCAAGTCAAAATCATCATTCAAGCTGTATTTTGATTTAAAGAAGGATTGTAACCAGTTACAGAATTAAAGAATGGTTTGGGTTAGAAGGGACCTTAAAGACAATCTCATTCCACCCCCCCTTCCACTAAACCAGATTGCTCAGAGCCTCATCCAACCGGGCCTTCAACACTTCCAGGGGTGGGACAGCCATCTCTGGGCAACTTGTTCCGCTGTCTCACAGCACACCTAAAGCTCTTTCCCCCCTCAGATTTAGTGTTCCAAATATTATCTGACTGTATTAATTAAGTGTAATTAAAGTTTGTATTTTTTGCACTTAGTTTACTGTCAGTATTCACAAGTCTCCAGAACTGCTCATTGGTAAATTTGACATAACTTTGACGAAGCACCAGCAGAGAGGAAATCACACTGCTTACCTTGCAGCTCATTTTGAACCTGAAATTTCTAGTATGAAATCCATAACAACACTGCCCAATCTCCCCACAGAGAAGAAAGATGTAAATTATTGATTTTGTGCAGTGACAGTTTCAGCACAGAGCACATGCAAGACTACAACCCAAAATATTCTAAGTTGATTTCTGTTTTCTTAGATGTTTTTACTTATGGATATAAAGGACAGTGAGGAACAGCCATGTCCCTGAAACTGCTTTCACGAGAGGTTTTTAAATGCAAAAATTTAAATCAGAGTCAAGGACAAAACCCAGATCTGATAAATATTGCTTGCCATTGACTACAGCCTCAGGGAGACTCACAGGGAGGGTAGTGGAGAGGAGCCACCCTGTCCATGATGAGTAAAGCTTTCATGAATTCTTCCTTGTTTTTTAGAAATATATTCATAGGACTAAGCCAGGTATGTAGGAGAGCTCTGGCTGTGTCTTATCCTCTTACCCATTTGAGGCCTGTGAGTCTGTGTTAGATGACACACAGAAATCAGGTAACACAGAGCCTGTTTTTCCACAGTCTGCAGACAGAACTTACATTTTTTTGAATAACATAGCTAAACTATTAGCATGATAACAACGTTGCTAAGTAACATCTTAAAATATGTATTGTGGTTATTTACTTGAAAATAATTTTGCAGTTAGAAAACTATCTGTGAAGTCACATCTTAAGAGAAACTAGTGCAGCCCAGAAATTATAACTCCAGCAGCAGTTAAGAGGTAGAAATAATTGATATATCACATAGGTTTACTGCCATGACACGTTCATTTACATGATGGTAAACCTTTTTGAAAGTGTTACTATATTTGCCTTCATCTTCCTCCTTTCTAGACAACACGATGCCCAGATTTTAAAATCTCTCCTTTTAGCTCAGGTTTTCTACACCTCTAATCACCCTTGCTACAGTCCCCCAGATCCTCTCCAGTTGCTACATCTTCCTCTTGAATTGAGGACCCAGAGGGGACACACCACAGCTCACCAAGAGGGTCCAGAGCAGAGCAGTCCTGCACATCAGGACTCACAGAAGGACCCCAGGAGCAGTAAAGTGGGAATTTGCATCAGGCACACCCAGCACAGCCCGAGCTGCCATGGCTGGGGTGCCCCAGGAGCTGCTCAGCTGCCACCACATCACATGCTGGGAGTCACCACATGTGATGAGCACAAACTATCGCCACTGGCACACACGGCCCTGTCCCCACACCACGGGATGTGAGATGTAAACTAGAAACTTCCTCTCGCCACGTGTTTGGCAGCACTGCAGCCCCCGTGCAGCCCTGGCACCCGGGGGAGCCCACAGCTCCCTGGGCACCCACAGCTCCCTGGGCACCCAGCACACCGGGCACAACGGGGACAACAGCAGCAGGACAAACACAGGGCAGAGACTGTAGTATAGAGTCGTGTGAAATGAGTCCTCTCCACAGTCCAGCTTCTATCATTGCATCATTTAAAAAAAAATCCCTCGCACCGTGCAGTTGTATCGGTGAAAGCAGCAGATGAAGCAAATTTAATTTAGTTTTGTGTTTTCCGTTGTTGTAACAGAACCTCTTGCTGCCTTTTAATTGAATTTTACATGTGACAACCAGTATGACCAACAGAGGACAGCACATCCATTTCTTTTAATGATTAAAAGATCCTGAACTTGAAGCTGCCATTCACTTTTTCACTCAGGAAATGAGAGTGACAGGCAGAGTGGAGCAGTGTGCCACAAGTAAACCAGCCAGATTAAAAAGGCCTTTTTGCAATTAACTAGAGCTGTTTTGAATTCCAAGAGATTACTCCCAGTAAATCTACTTCTAACCAGGCATTACTGCTAACGGAACACTGTGGGTGCACCCCTCTGAAAGCTGGGTCTGTATTTCGGCGCAGTTGTTTACTGAGCACTGCAATAACAGCTAGAACATACTTAGGAGTCAAAGCACACTCAGGATTGTCAGGTGAACTCTACTAATTCCCCTTCAAAACTGCAGACAGACAAGGTGTCTCTAACTAAGTTTTGATTAAATGTGAGTGTTCATAAAACACTGAAGTAAAGCCAAACTCAGGTGTTTTTATTGCATTTGATTTGGGGGCAGAGAAGACTCTGCAAGTCATAATGAAATGCAAAGAACAAACCCAAGGATTTCATGTGGCTGAGGGGAATCTCATTACAGAAATTCAATTAACCTGCAAGAGTTGCAAACATTGAAACCTATTATCTTCCCCCAAAAGCTGGCTTTGGGGTTTTTATAGCAACCTTTGCTATTCCTGGATAAATAATCCTTTATTACAAATGCATTGACATCTTTATATAATTAATTGAATATAATAACATCTTCATCCAGCTCTGCTTTGCAAACATTCAGTTCTGCTTCCTACGAAATGTATCAGAATAGTGGTTTTTTAAAAGATATGACTCAAGAAGGACCGGGTGTTAGACACAAGCACAAAGCAAACACAGAGATTCAGGAGACATGAGGAATAATAGCAGCTCCTGACAGTGTGTAGGTCTGCATTTGTCAGGCAGGGCCTGATCCTGTGAATGGCTGAACCGAATTAATTAACAACCTGACATACCATTAAGTCCATGGGGACTGACAGTGCTCAGCAGTTCTCAGTATTGGGGCTCTTAAATAAAAGGCAACCTCCGAATTCCCATTCATGCGAGTAACAATATTGCACACATCTACAGTGGGGACATGAATTATTCACATCAGCGTGACATGAAAGATGCAAACGGCAAAGCCTGTTTAAAATAACACACAAACACTCATTAGTGTTCCTGTGATCCGTGGGAGGGTTATCATTTGGCCCATTTTTCACCCACATGCATATTGCTTTTATTTGCTGCGTGCATAGGTCTGATATGAGAACGTGGGGAAAATAAATACAGGAGATAGGCATCTATAAACATTAGTAGAAAATGAGGAAAGGGGGTTACTGATTAGCTTTCTTCCCATACGAAACTCCTAGATCGTATCGGAGAAATGCGAGTTAAGTGTTTTACCATTCTTTTTTTTAACCATTATCTGATCAGAGAAGCATGAAAAGCACTTTATTGCCTTTTTTTTTTTCCCTGTGCTAGGAGCCCTCTGCAGGAAGTGAAGCTGAATTTCACAAATCTTCCCTTTCTGACGTCTCCCGAATTTCTAGGAATACCCCTTCCCTGTTACTATATTTGGTGGTAGTTTCTAGGAAAAAAAATAATTTTCGGACGGTCTTGGACTCACCACACCTCCTCTCGGAGGACTGTGCGCCCCGGGGCTCCTGGCACGGCCCCCGCGGAGTTGAGGAGCTCACGGCTCGGGCTCACAACTCCCGGCGCAGACTGCACGTCTTTGTAGCACTGTTGGAGGAACGAGCATGGAGAGGGAGTGGGAAGGGGAGAGGTGTCTTTGTGGCAACAATGAGTGAATCTTCTCTAGTTTTTTTCCCGGTGGCTGCTCTTATTTTTTTTTTTCCCTGCACTTTGTTGGTTTTTTGTTGTGGCTTTTTTCTCTCTCTCTCCTTTTTTTTTTTTTTTTTAATCTCCCTTTTTCAAGGAAGAGGATCTTAAGGAGAAAAAAAACCTCTGGATTTTTTTTTTTCTCCTCCGCTTCCCCCTCTCCCCCCTCCCCTCGATGTGGCCTCTTGTTTAGCTTGTGGCGTGACCGTGATGAAGAAATGTTTCAGGGCGCCTGGCAGGGTGATCTTTTTATGTAATGAGTCAGGATTTTGCCAACGGAAGGAGCCGGCTCGGAGCGAGGACCGGAGGGGCTGTCTCCTTTCAAGAACGCGGACCTGCCCGGCGAGCGGCTCGCCGTGCCCGGGATCCCCGCTCGCTGCGGGCGTGGATCCATCCCCGGCTGGGGGGGCCCCGCCGGGGGCACTGACAAGCGGTGAGTCGCGCTGTCCCTCCGCGCCCCCGCCCCGCGCCCTCCCGCGGGAGCAGCGCGGCCCCCGCACGGCCCCGCCGAGGCCGCAGGTGCGGCCGCCGCCCCGCGCCCGCTCCCGCCGCGGGCACCGGGGCCGCGCCCTGCCGGGGATGGGGCGGCTCCGCGCCGGGGCGGGCGCGGCCGAGCCAGCGCGGCCGCGGAAAGGCGCCCCGGGGGGCGGGGGCGGCGCGGGGCCGCGCATCCCGGTGCATCCCCCGCGCATCCCCGGGAGCGCATCCCCGGGAGCGGACCCCCGGGAGCGCATCCCCGGGCGGCTCCCGGCGCGGCCCCGAGTCCCACCTGCCGCAGGCCGCGGAGGGGGCCGGGCCCGCCGCGCCCCGCGGGAAGGGGCGGTTCGCCCGTGCCCCGCACCCTCGGGAGCTACAGGTGTGTTCGCTCCCCGCGGGGTCCGGCCCCGGCCCCGGCCCGCCGCCTCCGGGTGGCTCCCGGGGCGACTTTCGCCCCGCACGGACAACTAGAAACGCGCGGTGTCGATGCGAACCGTCTGAGCGGCTCGTGTGGAATCATGGCCAGCAAAGCCACCTAAATCAAATTAGTCGGTTAAAATGTGTGGCCTGTAGAAAGAGGAATTATTTAAACATTTCTACTTAGCCAGAATTTCCATCAACTTCTCTGTGTTTTCCTGTCAAGGTGTGTTTGCTGATTATGCAGCGGTTCAGCTAGGACAGCATTCTTCGGCTCTGTGTTTTGATTATCAAAAGCAGAATGAATGTAATAGTGGCTTTTCAAGCACAGTAATTAGTTTCTTTTAAAGTAACTGACAGCATTTACCTACTTCAGCCATCCAAGTGTAAACTATAATGCTTTTAAACTTGGATTTTATTTAAAAGTTCTGTTGGAATTATAAAGTGAGGATTTAGAAAACACATTCCTTTTGTCCATGAATCTGTTTCCTCTCACCTTGGAAAGAAGTTCTTAAGAAACATCATACTGAGGGTGGTAGACACACAGCTGAATACTTGAAACTATCATTGTTAATGGGAAAAGACTTGTTTCAGGTAAATGAAAATATTTTCTAGTTTATCATACAAATAAGAAATTTAGACTATTGACAGACATTTCTCTATAATGTGTCAACTTTAGTCTGACACAGTGGAAGAGATACACAGTAATTTGTTACCCACTTTGAGAAGAAGTCTTAATAGATAGTTTAAGTGCTGGGTCTAATAAATAACTGTTATTCTGGGGAGTTCCATGTCATTTTATAGACACTTAGAGGAGGTATTTCTTACCTGCCTGATAAATAAATCATAAAATATGAATAAAAACAAATAGTATCTCTTAGTAATTCCTGCTGTCCAGAAAATGAAGGAGTGTGTATTGTGACTTGGCTACAATATTCTCTTTTTATTAGTCTGAAAATTACCCACTCTGTAAGCAATGACTCAGTTGATTGGGCATATCTTACAAAGATACTTTACTTACAAATTGAATCTTGGAAGGTTGTGGTTCCAGAGTCGGGGTTTTGGGGGCGAGATGAGCTTATGTTTTATCCAACTGGCCCACAAAGTCCCGCTTTTGGTGGTCACTTTGTTCTGCAAAAGAAAACTGCACATTATGGCTCTTACACTGGACATTAAACTTAGTAGTAAACTACTGCTGCACTTAGTAAAAGGCTGCTACACTTTAAATAAATAATCGTGTTCTAACTTTAATATTGTCTTTAGCGATAAAAAGTGGATAGAAAATATTATCATTTCAAAAGTTAAACATAAAAGCTTTCTAGCTGTTGGTGGTGTTTTTCTCTTAAAAAGCCAGCAAAAGATGAAGAAAAAGTTATCTTTCAAAGAGTGGTCACTCAGTACAGGTGAACTGGGAGAAAAGGAAGTCCCTAGAAAAGAGAGGCAGTTTAAACCTTGAAAACATATAAGCACTGGTAACATTTGTATTGTCAATCCCCTTCTCATTTTTTTTGCTCACAGAGTATTCAGTTTTAACGTATCTCTTCAACCAGCTGCTTCTTTATGTGTGTCTGTTTGTGTGTCTCCACGTGTACAGTCTGTATCTATGGGTCAATTTAAAGACTACTAATTTTTGTACTGGTAAAAGCCATAGGATATATTTTTATGAGTAAGGCACTGTAAACCTGAGCTTGGTAGAGCTGTTTAAGTTCATGTTATTATTTACATTTTAGTATCGATGTCCTAAAGAATTTAAGTATAATTTTTACTCAATAATTACATAGCTGTACTTTCCTCATGGGATTCTAGGAAGTGTTGAAAATGACAGTAGATACAGTGGACTTTCTATGGTTCCAAATATACTGCACAGATGTTTAACACTCAAAGAAACACATGACACTCGCACAGTGTAATTTCTACAATGGTTCATATATGCAGTATATGCACACAAAATACACACAGGAGCATCCTCTCAGTTGGTGTAAACGTGTCTGTCATAGTTTTGACATTTTATGCCAGCTAATCACCTCCTTAAGTTACACATTAAACATCTAGACATTCACATTGTGGTCACATTGTCACTGCAGTCAGATTAATTTTAAGTGCTGACCTATTCAGACTGAACCAATTTGAATATTTCAAAAAGGCCTGGAAATTCAGCTGAAGTTACCCAGTGATACACTGTTCAGGTGAAGTTGTTCTACATGACTATATGCAGGATCTATCCATTTATGCAAATGGATATCAGGATGAATTACCAAGATTTTTCTGTAGAATTCTGACATTTTACGTTTTATAGCAATACAATCTCTACACAAGTGAAATAGGACATATCCAAACCTCAGTGCAACAAATTCCTCACTTGTTTAAGACCAAAATCTGATTTGGAGGAGCTTAGGTCAGAATTGTGCTGCTAATATGCCTTTTAGCTACTGTTCTGCATGAAATAATGCTGTTCAGAGGCAGCATTTATGAAAGGTTAAATTTTCATGAGCCAATTAAGCTATGAACTTAACTGTAGAAATTTTTCATTTTTGAATTATAGTACTTAGTTTGTGAATACATTCCAGACCTGTCCAGTCGTACAGGTTGTCAGATCTGTACTGGTTTAACTCCCCTGGTCTCTTCACTAGGATTCTGAGAACATAAGAGCAGAGAATCAGAGATCAGAAAGTGAATCAATGTGAGGATCTTTAAGGGAAAAGAGAAACAAACCTACATACCTGAACAGCAGCAAAGATCAGCTGAAATACAGCAGTTGCTTCTTACCAACTGTTACTTTGAAGATCTTAAATTAAAACATGTAATTTTGCAGTTACTTTCAGTAAGATGTGCTTTAAGTAACACACTTTGCTGATCAGCTATTTTTAGATTATTTTTTCAAACGGGTTCTGTTTGATTCTCTATTGATGATATATAAAATTAACAGGCATTCCTCCTAGCACCAATAACCCAGCTCTAGAATTAATACACTCTTTGAATGATTAATGAGCAGTGTTAAAGAACACAGTTACACTTCTCTAGGCCTTCCTCATCCAGCATTTTTATTCACATTTTTTCCCTTTCCTGAGCTTACAGAAGCAGCTCCTGTTTGTCTCTGGTGTGCAGTGAAACAGACAATTTTCTACTACCGTGGATATCATGCATGTATTTTAAACTTTAAAAGTATGTTTATTTTCTATCTGTTATTTAAATTGATGATGATTAGACGAAACAGTGAGAGATGCCCTAAACATCTGTGTTATAAAAATTGGCTCTCTTTCCCTCACTCTGGTTTTTCCCCCCAGGTTTGCGTGCAGCTCGGGGTGGTGGCCTCAGAGCTGAGACTCCTGAAGTGCACTGTGTATCCAGGGCATTAATAATTAAATACCTGGGATCAGTCTATCTTGCTATTTGTTATGAAAAAAAGAAATTGGCAGAAGAGAAAAAGTAGATGGTATGTTTGTAATAAAAATTAATTTTTCTTGAGGTAAAAAAAGTCATGAATTATTGAAAAAATAATGTTTAGAAATATCAGGCCCAATTATTTATTGCATTTATAATTTATAAAATTGAAGGTCCTACCAGCTCTCTTTCTATTTAAAATAAATTTAAAACTACATTTTTAGAATGACTTTTCTGCATTTTTAAGCAAACCTTTAAAAAAATCCAGCTTACAAACACACTGAATCAGCAGAGGATTATCAAATGGCCTAATCTGTTTACTTTTGAAATTTTATTGAAAGCAGTGAAAAGATCAGGATCTCCACCAGAATCCAGTGGCATGGCTGGGGATTGGTTTGTGGCCTGCATTTTCTGAAGCGGGGCCTCAACCTTTGACATCTCCTGACCTCGTGTTGCAACAGAAAAGTTTTGTGACTCCCCTCTGATCCAGCCATAGAAAAAGAGAGAGAGAGGTAACGACCTCGAGTTTGGAAACTCATGACCTGGAACAACTAAAAATTTTGCCTTAGTAAAGGCTACAAAATCAGTCACCCCTTCCTAGGAAGCCATCCAGAGTTTTTTCCAGGGTAAGAGCACAGACACCCAAGGGCTGATTTTTGAATTGTGCCTTGTCCTTGTCTCCCTGCTGAAGTGTCAGCCACCAGCACTGCTTGCCTGTGTAAAACCTGGACCTCACACCACAAAGAAAATCTATGTGAACACACAGCTGTGTGTTCAGGCATGATTTTTAAGGACATTATTTTTTATTTGCCAAAAAAATCATATTTCATAGGTTATGAAGCAAAAAAAAAAAAAAATGGATTTTTTAAAATGGCTTTAAAATGTTAGTGGAAAAACACTGCTGTCACCTGGTAGCTGCACCTGTAGTGAAAGAAGTGGTAGGAAAGTAGTTGTATGACATGAAATGCCAAATCCACTTCAGACCACGTGGCTTGAAGCTTCTGGTGAAATTATTGAATTGAAAGCATCATTTGCCCAGTTTTCACAGCATATCAGTCAATAAATGCACTGATGTCTTGCTGCAATGTCATACGCAAACAATGCAGATGTGGAGGGAATTTGGTAAAGGATATAAACATGGAAAAAACAAACAAAGGATCAGGTGTTTTACCTGTTGTCAAAATGCCCAAGTAATTCCTGTTTCTGAGGTTTCTTTAGGTGTTGTGTGAGTGGATAGGCCTTATTCAGCTTGTGGATTTTTTTCAGGACCTTTCTATAACATCCACAGAGTAAATAAAGATAATAGAAGCAGGACTAACATGTATTACTGAGGTGACTTGCTTTGTGAGCCAGCTGACAGGACTGCATGTCAGCAGTTGGCATCAGAAGGTTACCCCTGGTCTCTCACTCCCTGCTGGATATAAAGCTCTTCAGTTACCAACATTTTATTTTTTACATTGGAATCAGGATTTTCTACAGGCAGGCTCCAGAGATTTTTTTCTTTTCCTGTTTGGAGCATACTTGCTCTTAGCTGAGCTCAAAAGTCTTAAAAATGATACATCAATTCTATCTGATTTCCTAATATACTAATTACTTATACTGTGGATGCACGTGAAAAACTTTAAACAAAACTATTTTGATTTTTCAGTTAATACTGCTGTAATATTTTAATTTAGCTGTTAATGAAGGAGACTACAATTCACCAGTGTAAAGTAGTATTGATGCATTTTTGCTGTTTAAAGTATCTAAGCTTCAGTCAGACAGACCAAATCCTTTTACTGAAATCGTGGCCTTTCTGTAAGAACCAATATAAAATAGTCTCTAAACACTGATTTTTATAAGGAAAACTTTTCTTTTGTTTGTAGGTCAGGATAAGAATTAAAACACACACACAAAAAGGACAAAATGTGTTCTGTCACCTACAACAAGGCCCATATAAAGGGCTTTAGGAAAGGTTGAGAAAAATCCATCGGGATGTTTCAGGACTGGCCCACATGTGCCAAGAAAAATAAGTGAATGCAGTAATTGCACTGAAGGGGCATTTCTATTTGTCATGGATTGGTACTGTTAAAATGGCTACTAAGGTCAGCAAAATCCAGATGTTTGCTTTGATGCTGCTGCTGTTTGTATTAAAGCTTTCTTTTGTAATCAGAGGCCTATTTCAAATCACACAAACTGCACCCACCTCTGTCAGTAGGTGCCTGGATGTTGCTGTCAGTCAGAAGGATCTCCACTGAATTCACTGGACCTGCATCCATAAAAAAATGCAAGTGAGATCACGTTAAAATTTCTGGAACCTGAGGGAAGAATTGGGTTAATTTTTTATTATATTTTAACACGAACACAGAGCAAATGTATTACACAGCCCATCATATTAAATAATATATGAGGAATTGGGCATTGCTTTTTTTCAGTGATATATTTTATACCTTATGGTACAAGAATCTGTGAAGATTATGCCTGTTAGGTGCTATTCAATGTGGATTATTTTAAAATGGTAACTTTTCATTGGGCATGTCAATTGAACAGGCATAACTTAGAGTTCAAATGTGCTACCTGTTTTACTAAGGATATTTATAAATATCTAGTATTTAGTCTTTCCTAAATTGCATTCCTCTTTGTATTTTTACTCTGAGTGATCTTTCTGTATGTATAAAAAACTGCCTAGGGAGTTGGAAAATATCTTTAAATTCTTTAAAATGAAAGTTGTTATATGATTCTATTATGTATAATTTTCTTCTATAAACTAATGTTCACTCTGTCCCTGAAGTATCCTTAAAAATGAGAAATGCAGGTCAATGGTTAATGATGATTATTCTGTTTTATTTTTTGCTTTTGGAGAGCTGAAAGAAGAAAAATTGTCCTGTATTGTCTGGGCTTCCTGCAAAATGTTTTGCACTTCCCAATACCAACAGAATTTCTTAGAGTGTTGCCTAAGAATTCACTTTGTTGAATGGACAGGACCATTTTATACATTCAGAGCAATGACTTAGAGGCTGTTTGAAAAACTACAATTTTCCTGTGTAGTGAACTAACAGAAAATGATGAAATCCTGAGGTATTGTTGGAAAGTTGTTCTAACTTAAAAATCTTCTCTTTGTAGTTTCATTTTTGATGTTCCACAGCATTCACCACTTCCTGCATGGCTCTGAACCGCAGGGAAAATGAGGGACTTTTGGGGGCAGATGTGTTTCCTTTACACTATCATAATGCCCCTAAAAATCCTTATTGCTCTTGCAGTATTCTTCTGTGTTGCTGGGCCTGGTGAGAACTACTCGAAGACCTGGCTTAAAAATACAGCTTTTCTCTAAAAACACTTTAAAAACACCACTGAGTTTTATTTTGTTTGTCTTATTTTTAGTTGTGTTTACTGCTGCTTAAAATATAAATGGCAAGATATGCAACCACCTGTTGGTAAACAAATGTCATAAGTCATAAATCCAAGGGACATGCTGATAACTGCATGGTATTATGAAGAGGGATATATTTTGGCTTAAGAGCGAGAGCTTCATTCTTTTGGTACAATTAACTTGTTTTTAACATAAGAATTTAGCATCTGTGTCTCTGAAAATATGACAGACATTTTGCAAGCTGATTTGAATGACTGCTCAGGTGGACCTCAGTTAGAATATCAATTTTAGAAACATGCATCAGGTCATTTATCAAATGCATGGATCTGTCCAGTACTTTTATTTAAATTAAATGTACCAAAATACCCAAGTTTTCATACAGTCCCAAAATAAAATTATGATTAAACCTAGAAAAGGTATTGTGGGTTCTCAGCTGTTCTGTGCTTATCCAACTCTAAAGGTCTTTGTGTGGGCATTCCTCTTGCTGAGAGGCTTTTGAGGGAGGTGGGATGGCCCAGTCCCTTGGGAATGCTGTGTGGCTCCTCTCCCTGCCCCTCTGGGTGAGCGTGAGCGATCTCCAGGGATCTCCTGGGCACAGTTTATTCCTGCTGGGTGACAGGTTCCCCTGGAGCCTACAGTTTTCCAGTTCCTGAAGGAGGAGGCAGAACACACACCCGTAAACACGGTTTGTTTGTGCCTGGGTATTTCAGCCCAATATATCATCAGGTTGACATGTGCAGTGCTGGTAACATTTATTTCAGTAGCTGTGTGTGGGACAGCACTGTCACTGCTTTGTGTTAAATGGACTCCTGACTCCATTGACGAGCTTAAAGGAACTAATAGATGGTGTCACTTCGTCCCTCTGACAGGGACTACTGATATCCTTAAATAGCCTCCAAAATACTGGGTGACATAGGAAAGAAACAACTGGGTGGCTTCACCCCCCCCTTTTATATTAAAGTTTAATCTCCAAGCAAACGCTCTTCATTCTGCTAAAGGACTGTGTCTCATTTTTCAGGCAAGAAAACCTTACAGGTCAAGTCATGTCCTACAGGTCACAAAGTGGACTTGCTGTTACAGCTGAAACTCAGAACTTTTGATGCCAAATAAACACCACAATAACAAGAACGTTCCCTTCTAGGAGGACTGAACAAGCAGTGTTGAACAATATTGTACTCACAGGTCAAAACACACTGGCATATGCATTCTTATAAGGTATTAAATTAATCAATTAAATTAATTGTAAAGTTTTTGGCACTTTTTTTTCTAACCGTGCAAAAGTGCACGTTCAGCAAACTTTTTATTTCCAAGTCACATTCCTGAGGTAAAGACTCTGCATCTAATTGGAAATGTTAAAAAAAAAAGGCATGAGACAGCATATATTCTATGGAGTTCTGCAGTGTTAAGATCAGTGAAGGGAGTACTCCCAGAGCTACAAAATGTATCACCTTGCTACAGAAGACCTAATATGAACAGACTGGAGTTTTAATTACTTTTTAAAAGTCTTTTGGGGGCTATGCTAGTCACAGGATGATGTAAAGAATCCTGTGATGATAGATTTGAGCATTAAAACTGATCTAATTTTGTATTTGTCCTGTGTCAGCATCTTATCTTACACGTAATCTTTCAAGGATATCAGAATTAATTTTTTTTCCTAAGGTAAGCAATCTTTCATAAAATTTCTTACCTGCATAACTTGTAGGCTTCAACAGCTGATTCTTGCATACAAAACTACTTATATACATCCAGGCCAGAGCAAAAGTCAGGTTCTTTCTGAACATGTGCTCTGCAAATATGTAAAAATATATTTATCATATGCCATTACTTTCAAGAAAAATATATGGTTAGATCTAGAAATCCTGAGATTAAATTCAAGGAAAAGAATCAAAATAAGTAACACTAAATTCCAGTCCCTTTTATATCTAAGAGGAATAACCTGACATACAATTATCATTTTTTTGCACATTTTTATCACTGAAGAATAAGGATCAGAAAAGAGAGCCAAGTACATGTTTCGAGATGTATATTTAAGCTCTTGAATTCAAACACTTGCTTCAAGATGTTTATTTTAAGTATTTAAATCATTTTGGTTTGAAATGGTATGTCACAAAACCCTCTGGATCTGATAGAGCCCCATCTGTAAAAGTCATCTGTAAAACTGTCCACTAAAGCTAAAAGCACTGTGGGAATAGGCTGGGAGTAACTTTCAGTATTAAACATTCTGTAAAAGATCATTTTTTTTTCTCTGGTTGTTCTTTAAATATGAGCAAAGTGAAGATTTCTATTAGCCTCTTTTTAGGGGTTTCGATTTCTTTTAATTATAGGGCCAAGAGACATTAACCAAGAGACAAATTGCTCTAAAAGTTAAAACAGTAGCAAGTAGGTAATATTTTTCAAATAGAATTTCCACAGTGGAAAAGATATTATGTATTTGTTATGTGCCAAGAATTGAGTAATATGAGAATGCTTTGATTCTTTTACAAAATGGAAGAGCATTAACAGCATTTCAGTTTTTTATTATATATATTTATTTTATTTTTTTATTATATATAAAATTCCTGTGATTACCAACAGTCTCCTAACAGATAAACAAAAATAGCAGAAAAGACATGCAGTTATTAAATAGGCTGAATAAGAGAAGCCAGTCTCATTTATATATTGAAGAAACCCATTATTATCTCAAGTTTTGAACACTACCTCAACTGTATGTACACTATTTAAATGTTATTTAGACTACAGAATTAATTTGTTGCCATTGATGGCTGATTAAAGAAGTGTAAATGGTTTTGGTTTTTTCTCCTTAACTTTTGAATGCATGCAAACAATTTAATTCCCATATTTAAATCACCAGTGCCAAGATTGTGACTGAAGTGGATCTTTATGGTTGTATTTTAAACAAGTGCAAATGTCAGTTAGGAAGTACAGTCCTGACAGGATCTCAGTTAGAGCTGGAAGGGCATACAGGAATCATTGTAAGTTAATAAAGATCATTAAAAGAAATCACACATTTCATAATCAGGCTTTCATCAAGATAGATAATATGACCTATTTTACACTTAAGCAATTAGAAGATGAAATACTTGGAGATGATTAATTTCTTCAGTAGTTAGACTTAACAGGAGATATTGCCCAAGAAATAATCTACTGATAAACTCAATTCTTAATCAAAATTGTTTTTTGGTTGGTTACTGGGTACTGGTTTGGTTTTTTTAAAGAAAAAGCCACTTTAAAATTTTCCTTGCTTTTCAAATGACGAATACTATTTTGTATATTCTTTTAAAAATGAAATCTACAGCCCTGTTGTGACTGCTGACTGAGGCCTTTGGAAATCTCAATAATGAGAGCACCATTAAAATCAAACTAGATTGCAGCAGGTTAATTTTGAACAGAGGAAGCAATAGGATATTCATATATAAAGCCAGGGAATCTGTGCTAGTCATTTTTGGAGTTCTGAACTAATCCATAACAGAACTATCCCATGACTGCAGTTGGCAGTAAGGAGAACTGAGTGAGCCCAGAAGATCCCCAGATTGTAGTTTGAATCAAACATAGACTTTGTGGTATAATCTGGGCTCACAGTCAAATAATCTAGATTCGGTACCTTGATAATTCATATAAAATCATCTTATCTTAGAAATTTATTCTAACTTGTACCAGAATTTTATTATTTTAAAACTCTGGGTGTATTTAAAACCAAAAAAAAGGAAACAAACCCCTTCTTAGAACATATCTGAAATGAAAATTATAGAGTTCTTGTTCCAGTCTGAGCATTAGGAGATGAATGTTGCATCAAGAGGTTCTGGATTCAGGGTCTGGGCCCTGATTGCCCCCTGGCCAGTCCCGGGAGGGTGGAAAATGCCCTGACTAGAGACTGAGCCAGGTAAGGTACTGCAGGCACTTCACCTGTCAGAGGGAGCAGTGCAGCTCCCACCTCATTTCAGAATGCATTTTAATCTGGAATAGTCAGCTCTGGCCTACAACACAGTATCTTTCTGTACCAGCTCCATTGCTATCCTCTCCTTTCCAGGTTACCCAGTTAATAAACAGAAAATTCCAAGAAGTCAAAAAAGACCCACCCCAAAGCAGAGGCAGCTCCTCCTGCCAGAAAGTAAGGCCTGAGGCCTCTGATAACACACAACCCTCCCGCAAACACCCCGGAGCGGGGCAAGGGGGCAAAACTGCACCAATGAAGCACCTCAGGGCTCTCGATTTCCTCCTAAAGCAGGACCCCGCACGCATCCAAAGCCTGGGGCTCACCCAGCCCCTGGAGCAGGAGAGGAGTCGGCAGGGTGGGCTGGGAGGGGCCAGCGGGTCCCTCCCGCAGGGCCGCCGGTGCCTCTGTCCTTTGTGCTGCACCGGGGCTGCCCGGAGCACACGGCACACCGCGCTCCCTCCGCTGCTGCTCCAGGGCTTCGCTGACTTTTTCCCAGATGTCACCCCCGAGACAGCAAAGAGATGGTGACCTGCTGCCTCCGGAGTCTCATCCCACTTAACTCCCTAAGGCATCTCCTTTGTCACTGTTGATAGTGGGATTGAAAAACTGCCTGCAACTGTGGTTGGCAGACAAAACAAACTTTAACGACACAATTTTAACTGATTTCCCTACGAATTAAGATAAGAGAGCAGTGCACTTGAACAGCAAATCTGCAGAGTGTATTACAATACCTGTAATAGCAAATTTATCTTAATGCAAAAAAAATTAATATTTCTAATGAAACATAATAATTGGGTGGTATTGACATTATTATATATTCCAAGGATATATTCTCACCTTTTCACAGAGAGCAGAAAACTGTATTTTCCCATTCTACCTGTGGAACATTTAAAAACACTTCAGTATTTTACACTAATGCACAAGAATACTACTGTGTTATGGCAGAAACAAGGAGCTTTGAACCTATTTGGGAGACAGGGACTTTGTTTCTCTTCTGTGATTCTGCATCTCCCAGTCCTGACCTACATGTTTAACACTGAGGCGTCAAAAGGTTGGAAAGAACAAATAATAACTTTAAGGTGCTGCACCTTATGTTGGAACGTTTTTTAGTCTGTAGATAATTATTACCAATCTTAGAACACCGAAAAATTTGGGCTGAGAAAAACAATTTTGGGAACAAACAATAAAAAAGAATAAAGCAAAGTCTCTAGACTGCAGGCCACTTGCCAGCTCTTCTCACAGGAACTTTCAGTTCTGCTGCTTGCTTTGAGTGTAGCAAAAAGATAAACATTTTCTTGTTGCAAGTGAAAAAACATTGCCATGCATGACAAGTTGATAAGCACTATCAGCAGTTTATTAGTTCATTGGAACCAGATACAAAAAGTGGTGGAAAGTTTTGATGTGTTGCTGAAAAAAGAAAAATAACTGGTCAATGCCCAGAACTATTGTGCTGAAAAAAGGTTTTCTATTCTTAGTAACTGGAGCTTTCACTGCTATAGACAATTTTGCTTTCTGTTTGTAGTAAATTCCTCGATGTATCTACCTCCTTTGTATCCCTTGCACCACTGTGTGGTGGGTCTGTATTTCCAGGTGGGACAGATACAGCAGTCTAAATTCTACACTGATAAACAACTATGTTCAAGTCATGGCACAACAGGCAGAATTTGTTCGAGTGACTTAATTACGTTAAAAATAAGCTTTTTCTGCTCTAGGTCTTTTCACATTAACTGTAGATGTTGGGATCTTACTGCCATGTTTTTGCCTGTTGCAGTTATTGAAAATTAAACATAGTGTATGTAGGTATGGTACAAAATAGGTGCTGTGATAGGTCCTGCCATACACCTCTATTTAGCACTTGCTTGATTAAATTCTTGTCTGATTATTTTTCTGCTGTTGGCCTATGTGCCTTACAACAAATTGATAGTGTTTGACTCTTGATATTGTCACCAAATCTGTATCTGTACTAAGATCTGCCAAAGTAAATATTAAAAATCCTGCCATACATCCCAAATGTCACTTTTAGTTTCCCTTTTGTAAGGGTATGCAGCATAGTATAAACAAGGAGAAACAAAGAGATAAGGCAGTGATGTAGTATCAGGGTTTACCAGCCAAACTTGGATGTGGGTATATTAATCACAGATGATAAAAACATAAGGAAAAAGGTTGCAGGTTTCAGGAAGAGACTTATATCCTACACTGTAATGACTTTTTGTATCATTTATTTTATTGAACTATTATTTTAGAAAAGTTTTCATGTTTTTTCTTACAAAAGTAACCATGCTATTTCATAGCCCTTTTCCCCCACTAAGACAGGCTTTTAAGCATCATTGACGTTTGTGGTATGCCAATTTTTATGGCTCTAGAGAAATAACAATAATACACTTAGGAGAAAATTGAGACACATTATGTCTGGAAAATGTTGTTACACTCCGTCAAAGAAATAAGAAGAACTTATTTTAATATCCTGTCTCACAATATGGGGTAAAATGGACAAGAAAATTAGGACGGGTAGATGAAATGTATACTTTAGCACGATGTGAGCAGTGACCAGACAGCTAATATTTTCAGTTATTTGCAAGACTTCAATGATTCCCAGATGCCTGAAGTAGGGCAAGGAGGAGGACTAGGAATTTCTTCTGGATTTGATGGTTGCTTGGCGCTGTGGAATGTAGATACCTTTGCCCATTTGTATAAGAATTGTGTCCTTTGCCTTGGCTTCCCAGTGGGAGCTCACAACTGAATACACAGACAGTCTTTCAGGACTTCCTTCCTCCTTTATTGAGGGCACAGACACAGGAGATGCATGTGCAGGATGTTTATGGAAAAGAATTAGAAAGTTCTACTCTTACAGCAACTGAATGCTCCTGAGAGTGTCACACACATGTGGATATTTGGTGAAAGTAAACACGCTCCTGTCTGTTTTGAAGGAGAAAGAGCAAAGGCTTTTTTTCCTCTGTGTTTTCAGACATTATATAAAATTCTGCTGCAAGAAAGAAATTGTTTGTGTGCAGATGCTTGGCTGCCTTGAAAATATAAACAGTTTTCTTGGTAGCATATTTATTCACCATATTAATATTAGTCAACTAGAAGTTATTATTTTTTAATTGAACTGCTCTCGGGTTAATAGCACAGAAGTATTGCTATTGGCATGCTAGATATTTTCAATTAATTAAGTAAATAAGTTCACTAATTTAATAAATTATTCTTCAATCAGTTATTTATTAAATTCATTTATTTAATTGCTTATCTTGGTTTCTTCTGATTCTCAAATCTAGAGTATTAAAACTTGAGCAACAGACCAGACACTGACATGTACATGTAAATTCAGGAGTGGGATATGGCTTGAAATTAAAGCTCTCTTGATACAGGAGACAGTTCCACTATTAAGCAACTGGGGCTAAGAGCAGCTCTAAAGGATTCAGAATGTGAGCAGTCTGGTAAGAGGGCCAATAAGGTGAACATTTCAATGGAAGTCTTTTGTGAGCTCAAAAGCTTCTCGCTGTGCAAAGAAATTCCTCCCGAATGTCTGGTATTTGATGGCAGCAGAACTTTGTATTGTGATAACCAGCAGACAATCTGGTTTTTTATAATCTATATTGTGATAATCAGCAGGTAACACCTTATGAAACTACTGTACCTTGACTGGGGCATGAAGAAAGCAGGATACTGATGGATCATCAGTCCACTGGATCAAGGGAATTGGTGTAGGCCTGTAACAGAAATAGTAACCTGTGAGAATGCAGAAGCAAAGGAGGTATGTCCCAGATTAGCTGACTGGCTGCCTACAGGAGCATCACATTGCTTAAAGAATAAACTGTCTTTCAACTTCACACCAACAAGTTGGGTGCAGGTATTTCATAAGCTGAATAGATCACATATGGCAAGCACAGACACACCAGACAGATGGCATTTGTCTTCTGAGGTCTAAGAATATTTTTCCTTAGTTTGTGCCATAAGGAGCAAATAAAACTAAGATAAAATGGAAGAGAATATTGTTTGATAACATTTGTCTTATACTGTGCCTGCTGGAGTTAATGTTCAGGGTAGAATAAAGTTCATATATTATAAAAGGTCACTGATCTAGCACTTTAGACTCATTATTCTGCCTAAACAAGATTTTTTAACTTTTTGTAATCAAGTTCTCCTAGGTTAGGTTAGGTCTCCCAAAACAACTATCCTCTTTCAAGAAGGAACACTGATTTTAAAACAAAATTTTACCTGAATTATCTTAAAAGCCTTGTTCAGTTTTAGAGTAATGACATGAGACTTCAATGGAGAATTTGCTATTTGTTCTGTTACCCTGACTTAAGTCTAGAGAAAGAACCAGACTCCCATGGTAGCTGGTACAGCATTCAGTCAGGTAGTAGTATGGAAGTTCACAGCAACTGAAGTTTGGGCTCAGATTGTTCTGGAACTCGGAAAACACCTTAGCACCATTTAGGGGAAAATCCCTCTTCCAAAGAATTATTATCAAGCCAGTTTTAAAATGTCTGAGAGAGATAAATCTAAATCTCTTAGAATCTTTTTCAAAGAAAAGTAAAAGAAATGGTCACACAAAATTATATCTGCATATTGAAGTATAAGTCAGCAGGAATGTAGCTAGGAAATATTTTATTGTTTTTAACTAAGAGATATTTGCATTTGGCCAAATACGTAATGTTTGAATGCAGGATTTATTTAACACTAAGTTAAAATCTTCTGAAAATAATGTAGACAATGAATGTGTGTTAAAATCTTTTTCTTATCCAAGAATTTATGTACCCTGTTCCAAATGCTGACATGGTTTGTAGTTATTATTTTTTATTTTACAATGAAATTCAGAAAAAATCATTGAGCCATGGTATCAGTTCACTGGTCTTATCAAATCTAAATTGTGCAGTTACCTCCAAGTCTTTTTACACAGGAATGTAAATTCACTACTAACACAGAATAAATAGGAAAAAATTCAGAAATAGGACTTTAAAATAAAAAGAAAGCTAAAACAATATTTATTTGCCTCCATTTAATATTTGATGTAATTCTGAAAGATTACGTAAGTGTTGACTTTAATGTATTTAAGACAACAAGCTGTTGTCTCATTTTCATTTTGTTGTTGGATCTACTATTTTTGCAATACCCACCAGTTCAAGTAATGATAACGAGCTTGTGATTTCCACTGGTGACAGTGACCACAGAAATGTGGTGAGGGGGAGAACAACAACTCATTGACTGAAATGACTCCGTGTTTTTCAGAACACTCTTGCAAGAAACCTGTTGGCAAAATGAAAATTATATAACTGTTACTATTCCATCTGCATCTTTCAAAATCATTAAATTAAATGCATGAATGAAGGAAAAAGCAAAACTGTTTTATCTGTAAAGGTATAAATACATACAAAATTGTTTTCATGAGTTACTTTATATGCAGTCAAATGCATAATTCTTCTTCTACAGCCAGCTTTTCCTTTTGTTTTTTGTGTTCTTTCACATTAATGGAAAAGACATAAAGAAATAGCAAGATACCAATAGGGATTTGCATAATGCCCTGTTACATCACATCTCTGTACAACAGAATTTGCAAAATTTCATAGTACAGGACCTTGTATTGAATATTGCAAGATGTACTTAGTGTCCAAAGGATTCCTAATTATCCGTATATTTGCATAATTACCATGAAAATTATTTCCTTCACAATGCATGAACATTTCAAACTTTGGCCTTGAATTCTTGTCACCTTTCACACACCTGCCACCCCAGTACTCTGCAAAACTTTTCAAAAACTTAATTTTTGAGAAACAAAACATTGGCAACCTGTCAGGGAGACAAGCAAAAGAAGACATATGCATAGAGAAGCAAACAAATGTGTGCATTCATAACTCACCACAAATTCATGGAGAAATATGTGAAGGGAGAATAACAACAATTAAGAACTGCATTTCTTAATGTCTAAGTTCTCAGAGAATATCCAACATTCCTTAGGCACAAAGAATATTCGTGTTGTTCCAGCAGCTGATTTAATTTGCAATATGTGTGTCTCCCAGAGCAACAAACTGTATTTGTATTTAGTCAATACAGTGATAACCTGAAATGTCTGAGGAAATGCAGCATCACAGGCCTGACTGCACAATGAAGTTAACAGGAGCTGTTCTTCAGCATTGAGACTGGATCAAAATGAAGATCTGAGTGTGTCCCATATCACCTTTGAGAAGGCATCTCTCCTCCAGCTCACACATCATTGCAGAGGTATTTGGAAAGGCACTTCTAGGACCCCTTCATTTAAAACAACAGGCCAGCAGTATTTTTTTTTGGAGGATGCATATTGGGAGCACTCCCTGATTCTGAAACACCTCATTTCAGAATGTTTTGTAGGGAATTCTGATTATTTGGTGGAGAAAGTGTTGTGAAGCAGTGGCTCAGACGTGGTGCACCAGGAGTACTGCACCAGGAATTCATCTCAACGAGCTCTAGTGTTTATCTCTGCTCAAATATCAATATCTCTGCACCTAGATATCAATACCTCTGCTCTTTACCTAATGTATTTCTGCACTGATAGGAAATTACATAAAGCTCCCTTCTGAATTTCAAAAAATATCAATTAAATATGAATCCTTACAAATTTTCATGAAACTGAGACAATTGCAAGGCAATAAACCTTTGTTGGAAAGGTGCTATTTAATCGTGCTTGTAGCCTTGCTCGCCTCATATATAATTTGATCCTCTGCATTTAAAACTGAAATTTTCCACATTGGAATTGTTTTAATAACAGAAGAGATGTGTTAGTTAGTCATTGATAGCCACAGATTATATCCCTAAGTAAGAATCCAGTCTTTATTACCACAGTAAAAAAGCTCCAAGACACAAGAATGTGGTAGCAAAGAAAGGGATCTTCCAAAACCTATGTAACAAAAGTACTATCAGAATAATTCTCTAAGTATGTGCTGCTTCAGTATGCAGTTTTTAATCATTAAAAAGTGCAGTCTTTTGTAACTTGAAGATAAAGACTTTAATGAGAATTTTTGTGAATGTATTACTTTCCTGTTAAAATACTTGGAACGCCTTGTTAATCCTAGTAAAGCAGCAAATGGCATGTAAAGATGAATGGAATTGAAGAATATAGTCCTCCTCTGTGGAAAAAAAAAGTACTACACAGCTGAATGATAAGTTCTTCACAGAAAAGTATAAACTGAGTAGAGTAATAGAAAGAATTCCTATCAAGTATGGCTAATTTAGTTCTTACTGAAGTAAAAAATGTTACAAATGTAAAAAATCTTGATTAAACAATTTTTGATAATATGGGAACATTATCATACATTGTATAACATTATCTGTACTCCCATGGGTGCAATACCTATTTCTACTTAATTTTTAGATTTACAGCCATATTGATTGTTCTCAGCCAGGGCCTAAATTTGAGTGATTGAAATAATGACCAAACATTTCAGAATACAGGAAATGTACCAGGTTCTGCCTCACTGCAACAAATGATCATTTAAGGAGCAAGATCCAACCATTACCTGTGTATATTTATAGCTACACAGATACACACACATATGGTTTGCTTTAGTGGATGTGAAGGAAATACCCCTTTTCTATAAAATCCACTTTTAATGGCTCCAGGATGATTTAACAGTGTAACCTCCCTAAAGATGATGGTCTGGTTTTGTAGAATAAGTCCAGATTCAGAGTAGAATCTTTCAAAACTCAGCAAATTCCTCTTTGAGTCCCAACTATCTCCAGTTCTTGTCATATGAGAGGATGAGTAACTCTTTGACAGCACCCATTTCTCATCACTGATAATAGGATACTCCTCAGTCATCTTGTTCATCACTGTACCTAAGTTTTAGACACCCAAAGTAAAGAGAGATTAACTATCTTTAAATTCACTATGTTCCTTAAAGGATTAAGAAATGAAAAGCCAGTACATTATTTTTCTTACATACAAGATCAGAAGAAATAGTGGAAAATAGGACTATTCTAATATTGTCTCACTGTAGCTGCCTATTCTATTTATGACACCACTTTATAAAGTGCCAACTCTATTCATGCAAACTACAGATATTCTAAATGACAAAATAAAATTAAGCATGAATATAGAAAAAGTCAAGTATTTCTCATGCAGTAATAACTTCCACCTATAAACACATTCTAAATTGTACTAGACCAGGCTAATATCACATAAAAAATTAAGCAACTTCTCACAGAGAAGCAACATGATCAAAGATAAAGTCTAAATGACAAAACAGTTTTACTTAGTAATTGTCTACTTAAAATTACAGGCAGTAATATTTTTTGTCATTATCATCATATTGATAAAACTTTAGAGAGTACAAGACTGTACATGAAACACTGTGTTGTAAAAACCCCTGTAGTATGAGGTTATAATGAAACTATTGAATTTCCTTATTTATAGAAGCCCTGCTGAAAATCAAAGACTGCAGAAATAAGTATCTTTATTAGCTGACATCTCCACAAGGCATAGACCCATTTGGAAAAGAAGAAACTGATCTGCACAACCATAAGTTTAGAATATCTTCGAACAAATACATTTGTAAGAGACCATTTTGTTTCTAATGGAACACAGCAAAATGTTCTTCTGACGGAACGTTTTATTCTGAGTCCCTATTTCTGTATTTTACCCAATAAATCACTTCTGTAAATTATGAGTGCTACATAGGTCAGTGTGAATTATTCAAAACCAAACCTTAATCTATGGAAAAGAATCTTGATTGGAATAGGTTTTGCTTTTAAACCAACTGGAACCCCAGACCAAATTCCCTTTAACACATTCAATATGCCTGAGCTGATTTTGGTTTCATTTCAACACAGCAAATAGTTCAATTGACAGGTAATAACGTGAAACTCGAGACATTTTTGGCCCTGATTCATCTGGAATCTGGAGCATTAGTTAGTCTAAAGTGTGAGAAACTAGTATGGAAATTAAGGAATTATCCATGCTAATATTTACACGCCAAATTATTTACCAAAATGAAAAGTTTTTGCTACATTCATGAAATACAGATCCCAGATCGTACAACTGTGCTTAACAAGGGAAGTTCCCTCTCTTATTAAATGCAGAGTGGTTAAATATCAGAGCCTGTAAATGCTGCTCCATAAAAATGGCTGGTGCCGGTCCCAGAGGAGATTCTCTCTGGAACAGACTCTGAGAGCTGGATTAACACACTGAATAAATAAGGATGATGACCTTCTAGATATTACTGCTGGCAATTTCTTTGTACTCATTCCTCTGGAATACTCCTGTTGGTTTAGGAGGAGAGGGCTCAACAAATTAACCCTAAGCCATATGCTTAATTCCACATGTAAACAGGCTCCTTGGCTGCGTGGGGAGCTGCCACTCCCACGAGGATGTGTCTGTGTGAGGGGAAGTGTCACCCAGCTGTGTGTCTGTGAATCTGGACATCTGCCTGTCCCTTCACTCCCACAGTGTCTGGGCTGGGGCTGCCACAAGAGGCAAAAATGAGACTGGGAATGTCCTGCTGACTCCCTTATAAAAAAGCACGTTGCCTGATAACTGGAAAACTATTTTTACCTTATTTCAGTAGTTGGACCAAACGAAAAAGCTGTTGTGATGTGTTATCCCAGAGACATATTTCAGGTATTTGCTTTGAGCTGCAGCATGCTATGAAATGACCTGCATAATCCAGAAATCATCCAGGAAAGCTACACTTTTTCCTTCAGAACTTTTGGTTTGTGTGTTATTTCACACTGTGCAGGACAAACACTCGATTCCATGTTTCAATGACACAAATACATATTTTCACTGAATATTTACACTCTTCACATGTGCCCATTAATAATGTACCTCTCACTCCCAGCTGTAGCATGGATTTTTACCTGTAGCATGAGGTTTATCCTTAAAGCAACTGCTTGACTGTGGTGAATAATGTAAAAAGTACATTTTCAGTCCAGCCACCTTAAACAGTGACCTAAAGGAATCACTAATGGCTAGTGACAGAAAACAACTTGGTTTACTTTGCTACTGTTTGGCATTAAAAAGGTCTTTTAATGCTTGGATTGAAGTTTTCTGGCAAAATCTTCACTGGCTTCACTTGAATAAGTGATAACCACTTATTCACCAAAACAAATACTTACATACAGTTCCATCAGAATTCATCGAGTCTTTACCAGCATGGACAAATCACAATTTACAGAGGCTTTTGCCTGAAAGGCAAACTCTGTCCTTAGGTGAAGAGTCTGCCCTAAAATGCAATAGTCTTGTTTAAAATACAAGGAGAAGCCTTCATAGTGCTCTCTGCACTTCATTTGACTGCAGCCTTCATTTGACTATTAATCTTCTAATGCCATATATACTGTAGGAAAGACATGTTAATAAAAAAGACAGCAGTGACACCATTAATCATGTGTAGGAGTATATAAATACTGCAGAAATCTCTCTCACATTTAAAAGAAAATCAGCATTATAAGAATTTTCTGAGATAATTTCACTGTGGAAAAATATTTTTACTCTGAAAATATTTTTACTGAAAAATATTTTTACTTTGAAAATATTTTTACTCTTTTTTATAACCATATGATTTTAATTATCATTGTTATTTCTCTGTCAGCTTTTAGTGAAATACTTATGGATATGATATTATTGTATCTGCTCTCTATTCTGTTCGTGGGAAGGTTTGATTTAGTTAGCAATGAAGTTTGCTCCAGCTGAAAAAATGCATTTCAGCCTCTGTGTCAGAGCTTTGTAAACCTGGATTAGGTCAATCTTCAAATGGCTGATAGTTGGGAAAAACAGATATCTCCTCATTAAGGCACATCACAATGAGGTTGTTCAAATAAAATACTTCTGTGACAAAAATGCCCAAGTTACTTACATTTAGAAAAGATTCAGCAAATAGCTGTTCTCTGATCCAAGTTTGCTGCAGGGTACTCTGGAACCTCACTCAGTTTGTGGAATTTAAGGGCACTGGTGGAATTCACAGATTCCATACACCACATTCCTAAAATGTTGATAAAGACCGAGTTTCAGTTACTTACATGAAATTTTTAAAGGTCATCAAAATAAAAGGTGCAAGTAAAAACTCATCATAATGCAGCATTATTTTTACAGTAATCTCTATTTTCCAGGTATTTATAAAGCTGAGTTGTTCAGCCCATTTCCTGTTATGAAGAAATTCTTTGTAATTTTGAGGTATGGATAGTGGTATCATTCATAAAGGGGCAGAGAATAAAATGACTTAAGGTAACTATTTCAATATATAACTTTCAGGGGTTTATAGCACTCGATTTCATGTTCTACTTACAAGCTATATTGAAGAATATTATGTTTGTAAAAGAAATATTTGACCAAAATCATCTTCCACTGTACTTCTCTCTTCCCCCTTCCCCAGTCATACTGAAGTCTTTACTCTCTTTTACCCTGGAGTGTAAAAAGACCCCGTTCCTGGGGAAGTATCCAGTCCAGCTCTCATCAGGGAGTTGGGAATGTTCAAAATATTCAAAAATACATTTCAAAATCGAGGCATGCAAAATCAGAAGAAAAATAATCTCATATATGAAAATATGTTTTGTGCTGACTGTATGTAGATAATTGAAAACACACATGGGTCTATTACAGTAACATATGTTAAATCTCATATCTTCAGATATTAAATCCTGAGTATTGAACCTGAATGTCAAAATAAATGTAAGGTACTACATTTATGTATTTTTGGCTGTATAAATATTCCTAAATATTACATTATGCCTTCATTTTACTTTATTTTTTGAAAGAAAACCAGTTTTACTTGCTTGTGGAACTTCAGCATTGATAAATAATTTCTCTTTGAAGCTATATAAAAACTCATAAACTTGAATTTTATTGCATTTTTATAGAGCTCTTGTCAATATTCCAGAGTTTGTCTTCTGGTCGGTCTTCTACTGTGAGAACTTTTGTGTCAGAGAACACACGGTCCATGTCACAGCAAGACTTTCAATTATATTTACTTTAAATAAAACTGTTTTCCTGTTTCAGGTGATAGAATTCTGTGATTATTTTTTAAAAATGTGTTCCTTACATCTAATATTTAAAATAGTTTCATCTTATCTGGCATTTTTCCTGGTCTGTAAGCCTGTGTTCATTGCTTTCCATATCCATGGGTGGTATTCACTACACAGAGCCAAAGTCTCGCTGTAAGTATAGAGGTGGCTTTGGCTCCAAAATCTAAATCCTAAGTCTAAATAACATTGTAGAAGTAGTTTTTATTTATGATATATAAATGCAATATCCTTCCCTGTGCAAAGTGCACTTTTGCAAGCAGATCTGTAATCTGAATTGAATAAATTCAATTGGTGGAACTCCACAGAGGAATGGAGCTGCCTGGATACAATGCTGTGTAGAACTGAGGATTTTTAATTCTTTTTACTCAGCAGAAAATAAATATATTTGGCTATTGTTTTGCAATGTTTATGGGAAAATTAAAATACCTAAATTTTTTCCTAATCCTTTTTTTGCTTATTGCTTTTCCTATGGGTAAAATATTCTATTCTGCTATTCAAAGCTGTGTTGAAAGCGGAGATAATTCATGTCCATACAAATGTCAGGATTATGTATATGAGTTTTAAGTGTTCACACTGAGTATAACTCTGACATGAGTAGAAAACATAGAATATTTTTCCAATACAAACCACAGATTTTTGAAGGACTGTATAATTCTCACAATTGTTCTAGTGCCCACTTTTCTCTGGGGCAGGTCCCCTGTCTTACATACACTGATTACACGAATAAATGCTAATAAATGAGGCATCTTTAGCTAATAATAGCAAAGATATAATTTATAGTACTAATGGAATTTACTGTATGTACTGCTATGGATTATACTTTCCCACTGTATAATCTGTTTTATTTCAACTGTAACTCAAGGATAGCAAAGGAAGGTCTGAATAAACATGAACTGGAGATGTTGCAACTGAGCACAGGAGTGTAATGATGGGAAATTTTTCCTACAAATGATCTCTTTGCAAAAAGCTTTAAATGTCTGATTTCCTCCAGAGAACTCAATCCAAACCCCTGATGTTATTAGAATGAGTGTGGCCCTTACACCATCATTGCTTGTGACTGATTTGTGCCACACAAAGATTGCACAGGAGGGAGTTTGCTCTGACCCCACCTATGCAGTTCCCACAAAGGCCACCACTGAAACTTCCCTCAGTGCCTGCCAGGGATTTCTGCACTGTGGAGGCTGAGGAAGAGGATGACTTTTAAAGAAGCCAACAGGATCATCAGATGTACACAATGATTACATTTTTCCCTGCTGATATTAATCCATTCTTAAAAGGGAATGAAAACAATATGAAAAGATGGGAGTTACACCAAACCAGCAGTGTTTTATTTCTCTCATACTTGGGAATCAGATTCCAATTAAACAGCAATGATGGCTGGCTTTTGTATTTTCATTTTCCCTTTCAGTAAGATAGAGCACTAAAAAAAAGGAAGAAGAGAGAAGGACAGAGGTGGCAAGGCATCTAAATATGACCAAGATGGTTTATGTCAATGAGTTCAGCAAAGGGATTAGCATTTGTTTATGTGGCTGTCTCATGGAGATGGTTTGCAATGCTCCCTTACCCAGCACATCCTTCACTGCTCATATTTCAAAGGTCTTTTTTTCAGGATTCCAAACATACAAATCAAAAGTCAAATTATTAACTCAGTAGTGGAAATTGAAGCTGACTGACTCTGTCAGGTCAATGTTTACTATTAGGAATAAGTTTAAATTTCATGTCATCACCCAAATCTTGCACCCAGTAGCTTTGAGTGCTGACTGTGTCACTGCACTGTGACACATGTTCGTGTGTTTGGGTTTAAGCGATTGGGAAGAGCGATTTCCCAGTATCAGGCAAATGACTAAACATTTTTTAAGGATAACTCAGCCATTGAACATAAAAGACCCTCCCATTTCATGTTAGAATTCTCATCTTTACTGTGTCTCAAGAATGCTCTGATTCATCCCTGTGGAACACTTCATGTACTATAGTTTAACTTTATATTTCCATCATGATACCAACAATTTGCCAAAACGGCAATTTCTCTCCACACCAAGTATTGCTCACTCTTAAATCAATGTGTACTGTCTGCTTCCATCCCTGCTCTCTGTCTCAATTATTATTTTGTGTAAGATAAGAAAATCCCATTTTTACCACTGGAGAGCCAGGCTGCTTAGGTCACAAGATTCTCTTGGCTTAATCCTTGGGTATGAATCATGAACTTTCCCTAATAAGTCCCGGCATTCTTCAGATGATCAAGCGAGCTTACCAAGGCTTCCAGAGCTTTCCACATTAATTATCACCATGTTTAAAGTATCAAAAGCAGTAGCTGATTAAGAATTATTAAGACTATAAGTTGTTTATTCTTACTTTTCCTTTCCGTCCTCTGTTTCTCACTCTCATGTGGCTTGATGTTGTGAATGGCAATAATACAACTCAGCTAATAGAAGACAACACATTAAAAAGGTTATGAAAAATATAAAACAGACTGAAAATTATCAATGTGAAAAACTGGAAACAAATTTGCTTGCTTTCTACATTACATGGATCTAAATTAAGCTATAAATAATGCCCATGATTTCAGTTCAGAAAGAGCTTTTTTCTCATATTTAATATGAGAAAACTGTAAGAGAACCAGACTAAGAGTAAGCCTCTACTCTGCAAACTTAGAACCTCTGCAACAGTACACACTACTAAGAAGTCATCACAAAGGCCATGTGACTAAATGAGTATTCTGTTAGAAATAAATAAGATAAAGACCTTAGAAAGAAAAAAAGAAATTATTTTTTAACACTTGAAAGTGGAAACAGAATATTCATTCTGGATTTATAGTACAGAAAATTGCTGGAATAAGTCTGGATTCTTCTAAGTACTTTAAAACTGGAAATGTGGGCACAGGAAAGATTTTATATTCGTGCCCCAAATTTAGATACTGAATCTAGCAGAAGTTAAACAAGAATGAGTAATTATTACCTCATTAAGCTTAGCTACCAAAAATATTTTTGCATTTTTACCAGGATTAACACATCTAAATAAAGATTGAGTAAATTCCACAAAGAGTATTTTAAGTGTGGCACAGCACGGCAGGATAAAACTATATTTTATATTTGGAGAAAATAAGTTCTGTACTTAACTGGCAGTTAATTAACCATGTGTGTGTGTGGGTCCATTACACGACACGCCCAAGGCATAGTCAAAATCATCTGGGAACTTTTGTGGAGACAACAAATATTTTTACAATAATAGTGATTAAGCCTGAAAAGAAAAGCAAAAAGCCCTGAAAGGAAATCAAAAGTGAGTCAAACTCACTGGTGGTTACTTTCATACTTCTCATCCAAAGTGAGTCAAAATCACCAGGCGTTACTCTCACATTCATCACCATATAAACTGTAACATAAGAATGCAGTCAAGAGGAAAAGAAGAAACAAGATGAAAGGAGCAAATCCAAGACACGGCTTTCATATTATTTCCAAAGCTGACAAATTTGAGAAGAATACTACTAAAAGTGGCATTAAATAGGAAATCCCTCTTTGAGCGCTCCAAAGAATGAGTTCTCAAAGAGAACTAAAACCCGTGGCATAACAAATCCTTCGAAATCAAATTCAGGTACTGTATTCAGATATTTACAAATTTTAAAAATACACAAAATATCATACAGGTTCGGTACAGCCCTTTTTTGAGGCATGATTTAGTGACACACTTGAGCAAGTGAGTAGCTGAACATGGGTCTTGCTTCCAAGACCCATGCATAATTTAGCACCCAAGTTCAGGAAATGACTCTAAGTAATACCAACCTGATTCAATAAGCTATTTGAAGACACAGGGTGCTGAGCATTGAATTTAATATTTCCTATGTACTTTATCAGATAAAGAGGATCTTTCTCTGGAGTGAAGGTGTCTCTGCAGACACAGAAACATTCTCTAGTTCTATTGTTTTTCTGACAGTACACTATACAGAAATTGTGCAGAAAATCTAGAATGTATGGGTAGAGAGCGATGCCATCTCGGTCCTAAAAACCCATCATTTGTTAGAGATAAGCTCAAGCCACTTAAGTGAGAGCTAGACATAGATAAGCAACACTTTTGGAAAAAACCTTAATGTATCCTTTCCAGATTTGCTGAAAAACACTGGAAAGTCTTATAAAATCATGCAAAAATTTAAACTAAAATTTTAGGCTACTGCTGTGATGAATGTTTAGAGGAGAAGTATAAAGTTCTCCAGAAGCTGTCATTGTTTGATTGTTAACTCTTTTTGTCCTGTTCCTCATTGCCTCTGAAAATATTTTGTTTTGTTTTTAGGGAAGGGTACAAATGTGCCTGCTTCACAATTCATAGAAGAAAAAAACCCAACTCTAAAGCTCTGAATTCAACAAAACACAGCATAACATCTTAACCAAATAAAGCATTGCCCTACATTCTGATTTGCAGACCTCAAAATAGAAATTAAATATTTTACTTCAGCAATGTGGCAAATTTACTTCCTAAGACAAAAAAACTTCAAAAAAGTGACTTTATCTGGGTACTCCTTCCAACCCTACACCAGAAACTGTAGAATGAGAAACTGTGACCAGAAGTGCTGAGGTACATGATGTCAATTAGTGGGAGCTACATTCAGTTACTGTCGTACAATGGCATAAATAAATGGAAAAGATGACAGAAAAAAAACTATTTCCAATGTTGTTTTTTAATTTTGGATGAACTGAGTTTGCACAGAGTTACAAAAATGAACTAAAATTTTAAGGCCAGAGTGCAGGCATGGCATGCTCCTAAGAAGAATCTGTCTGTTTGTGTCTTCCATATGGTGTACAAACACAAAAATAATGATGTATCTGAGCAAAAATACAATTTTTTATTTATGAAAAGCAAATTACTATTAAAACGCTTTAAAAGGAATGATGATAAAAATAAAGGTAAGAATATAGCAAAAGTGAGATGATTTTGAGTGCTAGACAGATATACAAATAATTTCCTAAAAGTTCTCTCAGATATTATTAAGCACATTTTTACCCAGAGAGCTCCATCAGGGATCCAGTGCAGATTGTTAATTAATTCTTCATATTCTCTATGTATGACTACATTAAAGTATTAAAATCCTAGCAATCTGAATTGCAAAATTTGGAAAATTATGCTCTTCTGTCAAGTGAAGATACACAGGACTTACATCATCATTCTCCTCAGTCAGCAGTAACTCCTCAGTTGTTTCTGTTGTTTGTTTTGTTTCATCTCTCAAAGGGACAAGGGAAGGAGAAAAATATATTTTCTCTGAAAATACTGCTATTAGTATATCTACTTCCAAGTATTAAATTCAACTTAGTGTATGCAGTGATCAATAGAAATGAACTTCATGGGGCACTCAATAAGGCAGTAAGGCTGCAGTGATTAAACACCAGCATAAGTCACAAGTACTGTTGGCTGTTCTCTCTCTTTCTGCCCTGAGGGTTTTCTCTTGCCTCATGTACCAGTAGTTTTACATGAGAAACCCAACTGATTTTTTTTCTTATGCATGTAATACATTTTAATATATAAGTTCAGCAATGATAATTATATCAGTTTAACATTCTACACTTCTCCAAGCTGTGCATGGTCTTCATTTAGCTCCCTTATTTATTATGAGATAATGCATATGTATATGCACAGGATTCTTACCACATCCCACCACTGTTTATGAATTCAAAAAGCAACTGAGTTTATTCTTTCTTCAGAACAAAGAATGCAGCATGTTATTTTTATGTACCACTAGAAAAAAAACTGATAAAGAGGAAATGAAGCAGGGGAACAGAAAAACAAAGTAAGAAATGAAATCCAAGTTTCTAATGCAGCGATGTAATGCCAAGAAACAGCTCCAGAGAAACTGAGTAACTGCCAGCTTTTCTACCTGTTGCCAAGAAAACGTTGCTGTGTTCACTGATCCTGTAATTAAACTGAGTATGTTCTGAAACAACTTCTGAATTGTGCCATCTCCTGTGAAGGGGGAGGGAGCTTTATTCCTATAATACACCAATAGAAAGATGCTGCTTCTCTAAAAACTAGGTAGAAGGGCGAGCTTGGTTTAATCATGTACACACATTCTTTAAAGAAAAAAAAATTAACATTTGGAAGGAGAAATCTTATTGCCTACAGACCTTTGGAGGGAAGCACAGAACTATAATTTGCATAATTCAAAATACTAATGTGAAGGGCAAAAAGTTTTAATAGCCATCCTTTAATGTCCTGTAAAAACAGCAGTCTCACTGCCCCCTGTTCTTTTATCAACATTTTTAAAAAGGGAGTTATTAATTGTAGTGTCTTGTAGTAATTTCTAGCTAGGATTTTTAATATTTAAGTCATTACAATTACCCATGCTAGGCAATATGTTTGTAGATAAGTCTGTCACTAAATCAGATCACACCAGTACACTGCTGCCACAGTTTGTCTCCTTCAGCCCAATGTTGTTTAACCAAGATTTCCTGAAGGCTGACTATATTCTCTTTACCTCCACTGTAGTCCTCTGGGGTCTTCTGCTAACGGTTTATTTTACTTTGCACAGCTTTTCTCCATTCCTCCTTTTACATCTGATGTGTTAAAGAAATGTTGGCTTTTCTTGGCTGAATCATCCCTTGCTCTGTGGCTGGCTGTGCTGGGCAGGACAGGCCCTCTCAGACATCAGTCACACAGCATCTCATAACAACTGGGCTTGGAAGGGACCTCTGGAGATCATGTAGCCCAAGCCTCCTGCTGAAACAGGTCCACCTGGAGCAGATTGCACAGGATCGCAGCTTTATTGCATCAAGAAATGTCTGGATCACCTACTAAACATGTGAGAAAGCCCTTGCTTCCAAGACAGTTCCAAATATTCAGCAGAGGAAATTCGGAATCCCAATGGAGGACACCTGAGTTTCCCCTTAACTCCACAGCTCCTTTACTCTTTCTCTATGATCCTAAGTACACTCCTACCAAACCATTCCAAGTAAAAACATCCTTGTAAAGTCTCACTGCTCCTCTGAACTGCATTCAGCTCGTCCTTAGATTCAGAGCTCAACAAATCAATGCAGTCCAACTTCCCTGAAAGGTCCTTCACATCCCTGGACACTTTGCCACACTCAGTGTGAGCTCTGCTGTTTAAACGACACCTCATGTAACTTTAAGCCACTTTACTGAACTTTCTTTTTAAGGATACAACGTTTATGGAACTAAGAGATACTGTAAGTAAGAGCAGTTTTAATGCAATTTTTGTAATATGAGAGGGAATTTAATTTGTCTCTGTATCTAAATGATCAAATATGAAACATGTTTTGGTTTGGTCATTAGTTTCTCCAATCTTTTTCTTATTACCTATAATTAAGAAACCAAGCATTTTATTTGATATGAAGCAGCCCAGAAAATAGCAGTAAAAAATGTCTGCTTGTAAATTAAACTCACTCTCTAATTGCTTTGCTGTAATTTACTAAAATTATCTCTTGTATGCCACCACTTAGACTAATTCTACAAAGAATCCAGGGAAAAAAATAAACAGAGTTCAGAGTAATAATATTAATGATTATCAAGCTCCACTATTTCCAGTTTTACTGTTCATTGTTGTTAATTATCTCAACAGTGGCTGGAAAATGATGATTAGGAAGGAAGACCTCAGAAAGCTGATTGAGGAGAGCATGTGTATACTTGGTAGTCAAAATGTAAAAAACAAAAAAAGTTAAAAAAAAGCATCACAGATAGTCCCCAAAGATGACCAGTCAGCATGTCTGGGCCAGTCTGCTTGTTGTTCATGGCCAGTGCTCATGTTAGTCATTCACTGACTCTGTTCATGTCAGTGAAGCAAAATGTACTCTGTTAAGTTCCACACTTCCAATCATACCCCAAACTGATCCCATGGACCAAGGGTCTGTCTGCTGTAGATCTGGCCAAACACAGTTTTTCATTCTTATGCTGGACAGAAGTTTATCTACTGGCACAGCATAGCCAGAGCTGAGAACATTCTGCTTGTGACACACTTTTGTCACAATCCCTTCACACCTGTTCATTGCTGTAGCTCTGGGACAGGAGGGACTTGAGGGGAAATACAGCTGTTGCATTTGTGTGGAGATAAGCTGAGAAGCCTTTTGTGCCAGATGTATCCCATACCTGTCAAGAGCACCTCTCACTGAGATCACATCAGCTCCAGCTGTGGAGTGATTCCAAGCCACAAAGAGAGCTACTTCCAGAGGCAACTCAGACTTTAGGAAGGCTGAGTCCTGAAAAGTAACTCACTCTGAAAGTAACTTTCTGATGATGACACAGGACCTTAAGATGACTGCACTCAAAAGGTACAAAGCAGTACCTAAAGTATGTGGGATGAGACACGGTCTGTGAATCACTGAATGAAGGGTTGTTAACAGAAGAACACTTCTTCCTTAGTGCAATGGAAGTATTTTTCAACTTTACACAAAGATTCTTTTCTTGCTCTCACATGCAAGAAATGCTCGGAGTTGAGGACTCCAGAAGACTTCATCTGTGTTGTTCTCAGTAGGTTTTCCTTTGATCCTCTTCCCCCATGCAGCGATAGGACTGTCAGGACGTGCAGGCTGACAGGTTCACTCTGGAGTGAATAGCTGAGCAGAGCTGACACCCACACTCCATTTGGAGGTGGTGAGTTGCTTTGTTTTAATTCTGTTTTGGCTTGTTTAGTTGATGAGTAACAGATCAGAGTTGTTCAGCAGACAGAGAACTCTGCTCCTGATCTACCTCCAAAACAAACTCAGAAGCAAAGCCAGGTCACTCTTAGTTTGCTGCTTGGTTCTGTCCTGCTCTCTGTTGGTGATGATATCAGCACCATCCACTGCCTTCAGTGGACATGAATACGCCCAGGTGGCACATTAACCATCATTGCTTCTATTCCTGACATCGACTAATTAATTCTTGTACTTCTAAGCCAAGCTTTGCTGTTCTGACAGTTGAGCAGAGAATGAGCAGTTAGCTGTTGGTGCTGATTCATTATCACCTGTTGTTTCTCAAGCTGTCAGCAGTGACTCCATATGCAGCTCTTTACATTTTCACTGCTGAGCATTTCCACTTGCTGTGGACCAAGTGGAAAAAGGTTTCCACAGTGCTGTGTCTCATGACCTAATCAACCACTTTTTTGTGCAAACTGGGAGCTCCTCTGTCTTGTGATTCTTTAGTAATTATGTTCTAACATTCAATTCTAGCATTCAAGACACCAAACCAGAAAAAATATATGTACAAGACCCCTTTGCAAAGTCCCACCAAGTCGACCCTAATTTTTGAGTACTTTTCAACCACCACTATATCTACAGCAAGAGTAACACAAAACACTATGCACAAATTTCCAGCAAGGAAGGCCAGAAGGCAGGTGCAGAGTTGTACTGTACCTGTTCAAAGGAGACCGCATTCCATAAATATTGTGTTTACAGTAGCCCTTGCAGTTGTCATCAGGAGAGCTAATAAAGCTGGCTGGGAGGAACAGCTCAGCCTCTCTGAGCTTGTTTCAGCACTCTCATCCTACATTTCTGCCTCTTTCCCCGTGCTCTCCCCGACAACAGGAATCCCAGCACACCGGCAGGGATGTGTGTGAGAAGCCACCGCCTTTCTCAGAGGCGACGTGGTACCATCTCGTGTGAGATGTGACATCTCACAACTTGCACAATGTTCTTAATCACATCATTTGGAGGGGGAAATTCAATCTGGCATACAGCCCTTAATGTATGACCTAGATTGCATTTCCCTAGATAGTTTATAAGAATGTTGAGACATTTTTCAAAAGCCTTATTAAAATTAAAATATACAACTGCCTACCCCTCATTCAGAAAAGCAGCTCCTCTGTTGTAGAGGGAAATCAGACTTGCTTACCATGGTTTGCTGTTCACAAATCCATCCTGTTACTCACCTTCTGCTTATCTTCTGGATGACTGCAAATTATTTTTCTTAATTTATTCTACATTTTTTTATTTTTACACTTAGTGAAAGAGAAGTGAGTTGGATCCCTGAATAAAAGTAATATTTGCAGTTAAGTCACAGGAAAGTTCACCTGTCCTTTGCAGTTTGTAACAGTAAAAGACATTTAATTTGATTAAGTGCTTTTAAAACGGATTTGTTTCTCCATTTTTCTTCTTGACCTTATATTGTCTTTAACACGCACGACTACCCTTTACAGCTCCATCAGATTAATTTCTGTAGCAGTTTTGTGTTCCACTGTCTCCTTCCTTTTTGACCATCCTCCACAACATTCAAGTTCTTATTATCCTATTACTAAACATTTTAAAATCTTCCATGTTATTAAAAAATGTGTTATTAATGGCATCATTATTAAAAATTTGCTGTTCCTACTGCTAATCCTCAAAAGGTTTAAAAAAAAGAAAACACAATCAGTTCCTGCCTAAAATCCATTACAATAACATTGTCACATGAGTTATGAAAACTGTTATTTATATTCCAATGGACAGAAGCAAAACCTTTATAGTTGCACATGACTTTAAAAAAAAAAATAAAACCTTGAGCTTTTTATACCAAGGCATATTTTGATAATTCAAAAATACATGGATTTCAGACAAGCTTTGCAACAGGTGAAACTGTATTTTTTAGAGCAGTAGGGACATTAAATCATCTTTCTGTGAGGCAGGTTGCATACTTGCCATTGTTTTATTAGTCTCATGGCTTAAAATTAATTGCTTGTTGCAGGGAGTTTTGGATTTCTTTTTAACTTCAATCTACAAGCCATTGAAACTAAAAGTGGTTTTTCTCTATGGATGTTTATTTTATGTATTACCACATAGGCCATTTGGAACATAACAGTAAGAAGTGCTTTTTATATACTCAGAAGCATTAGTTTATAAGAAAAGATTTGACACACAGTGTATAGGTTAGTTCAGTACTTACTTAACCACATCGGTTGCGAAATGCTGAACTCAAACCAGCTTACACAGGATTTGTTTTAATTTCTCTCTGTTGGAAGAAATAAAACATATAATTTAATCCAAATTCCAACGGCCTGCTCTGATTTTTACAAGTACATGCCATCTAAAATGTACTAATGATGCCAAAAAATGAAACACTGAATGTTCTTCTATTTATTCTCCGTGTATCATTTTCTCATTTTGGTAATCACTCTCTAAAGTGATGGCAGTTGAAAGAATCCAAAACATAAGTTTTTGAAAGTTATTCCTTAATACAGACCTTGAATACCTTTGTGGTGTGGGGTTTCTTTGTATCTAAATGAAAAAAAAATTGTCATGACTCTTTTTTTTTTTAATGCCCCACTACAACTGCCTTTTTTCTTACTGAAGATTGAGATAGAAAGCTGTGTTTTTCTCCCTAGATCTCCTGCTAAATATGACAAATCTGTGTAGAAAGATGAATATGGTTCAATTATGAGAATGTAATTTTTGGACCTGAATTGTAAGGGATTAACTATTACATTTATTACATTTCTGGACTGTTACAGTAAACACTTCTTTGCTCAATGCATTTAGATGACAATTTACTAAGTCAATCTGCAGGGTCATTCAATCACATTTTTAGAGTGAATTACAGAAACAAGGATGTGGAATTCATTCTGGACAGTGCAAAAGAAAAAGTCTTTTTCTCTTTTTAGTTGCTACCACATAAGCCTATTTCATGTGGGCTTTCTAATGAGGACTCTGCCTTCAGAAAATACTCATTGGAAGACTTTCTCAGTGCTTTCTATCAGGGTAAGAAAACAACAAGAAGCAGCATTTCTATCACGATTCGGGGGGTTAATTTTCTGTAGACATGCAAAAAATATTGTTTCTCTAAATCTACACTGTCTGTACAATCTGAGGAAAGAGATGGAAGGCAGAAAAGCTGCCTCCTGGAAGTGATTACTTGAGGGGAAAAAAAAGGTGCCCATTCACTGGGTGGGGATTGACTCTTGAGGGCCTCTTGAGTAACTAACTGAGACTAAATAGCCAATTTTTTAAAAGGTGGGGTGAGAACATTGTTAGAGAAGAGATAAAAACTCTCTTGAGCAAGGATCAGAAGAACAGGCTCTGGTCACAGAAATTACCAGGGAACTGGTCCGTCAGAGACCGATATTTGAATAGACACAACTCATAGCTCTGAAATTAATGTGGTTTGTTTTTTGTTTTTAATTGGAAATTCCCTAAAACTAATCCTTCAGAACTACAGACAGCTGCATACCAAATGTAAGCCTACAGGCAGTAGGCCAATTTGTACTGTGTAGCACATATGCAGCACTGAAGACTATCATGGCAACAACATTGCTACTACAGGAACTTTTTGTAAGCCTAATGGTAGCAAAAAAAAAGTTATTTTAAACTAACATTTACTCTTCAATTTTCCAGCTAAATGTAGCTTTCACCTGAATGTGTGTAAGGTAATCTCACTTCACCTCCCTCTAACAGTCACATGAAGGATGCACCTTGTCTTACCAAAAAAAAATGCTGGAAAGGTTCAACTCACATTCTTCACAAGTAAGAAATGTCCCTTGACATTTAAACTTTTCCTTAGGAGTACACACATGAAGTGCCTATGATATACGTATATATATACCACAGTACAACTGTGATTTTAAATGCACACATGCATATAAATAAATGGAACCAAAAGTATTGGTAACAATAACACCATGTTTCCACAGTGCAAAGCTTGTGCCCAAAAGTTTAGAAATCTCACGTTACTCCTCATATTGGGAGTGTAAAACATTCAAATGGCACTGCTCATCATTATGGCCCATTTTCAGTCTCATTTGGTCTGCTGCCTTAAAGCTCTGCATGGTCTCAAAGAGCAAATTTCATAACCTAAGTGAATTTCTTTAAGAATGGCACTTCCTCTCTAGTGTTTTAGAGCTTTAGGACTACTGTTGTTTGGTTTTAAATCACAAAGCTAAAAGTGTCTCAAATACTCTATGTCATTATTTTATCAATAAAACTTATCAAAGTCTATAGGCCAGGAAGTCAGCAAATCTGCTCTTAATCACCAGTATACCTGTGAAGCCTTAGGTGTTATTCTGGAAACCACATTCCTGTGTGACAATAATGCTGTTTTGACCTGCAATCACCTTCTGAAGGCACCGCTGAATTGATTCAGGAAAATAAATCTAATTATTTATATATGTGCACTACAAGGTACCAAACTATCCTAGTGTTGTCCAGTGTATCCATTTAAACCAGTTCCTTTTCACCCTTCAGATAACACAGTCAGTTCCCTATTGATATTACCTTCCTGCTTTTGTAAACTTCTGACACCTTTTTTTTCGCTGTTCTCTTTTCTTCTCAACAAGAGCAGCTCCTTCATTCTGTTTGATAAAAGGAGAATGCTGTGACTAACATAGCTCATAAGTTTAACAACATCTTCAAAAATACCAGTTTCAAGGACTTTTATATGTTAATTTGATAATAAATTCATTTTTATGAATATTGCACACATTCAAGGACAAATAAGATTTCTAATAAAGATAGAGGATTGAACTACATGATGTGAAAATTGCTATCAACAGGAGGAATGACAACTGGCCATCACTAGACACTGCAGAGGCAATAGAGGGGCAGGTAGCAGATCTCTGTCCAGAGAGAGATGCCCTTGAAATACAGAAAGCCACAAAATAATAATAGGACAGGTAAAGAAACAGGGCAGATAAAGAGGGCTGTGGGAGAAGAGCAAGATTTCCCTCATTGTATTCAGCAGAGCATTTATTTCAAAGTAGCCTGGATATGTCAAGGGGCATAAGACCTGAGATTATGTAGTGCTTTGGTCCTGGAAGCCTTCTGAACCCAAATGCTTCATTTCCTCCTGAACTAGGTGGGTCAGTTCAGACAACACCACTATCTGCCTAAGAGCAGGATAAGCTATAGGGCACAGATCAGCCTGGGGAGCAGCTCGTGCCTCTCAAATTTCCTAGTGCCAAGCAAGTGCCTGGGAATCACCTTGCTGAATTCATAAGGGTGGAAAACTCTTCCTGCAGCTCTGAGCGATCAAGATAGAAAAATGTGTCCAAAATCATCCTTTTATATGCAAATACTAGTTTGCTGAAAATGTAAGATAACAAGAGCATACAGTGATTCACAATGGCTCCAGCAGTTCTTTGGATTACTGGGAGGAACTTTCAGCTCTGCTTTTTTAAGCACAAGTCAGTATTTCTCAGTGAGCATTCCTGATTAGAGTCATGGCTTTATTTTATTTTTTTACTTTCTTGACCTTTTCTATCTGGGACAACATATTTGTGTTTTGTGAGCTTCCAAGGATGAAGGTTTTATTTCTTTCTTTCTTTCTCCCCATTCTTGTGTGTGTAGGACAAATTCTTTGGGGATGAATAGAAGCTATTTGGCCAACAAAACTTGTCCTTTTTTGGTTCTATCTTTCTCCCATGATGTCATGCAGTTATTTTTCTGAATGACTTCAATGTGTTTGCCTCAACAAGTCTGCTATTTTATTATTATTATTATTATTATGCATTTCATCTTTTTGAAAGGAAAGTTCCACCCTTTCATGAAAAAAAACCCCAAAACAAAAAAACCAAAACACCCTCAAAAACCCCCAAACCAAAACAAAACAAAACAAAAAAGGAACAAAAAAACCCCCACCAAACAGCAACACATTTTTCTTTTCTCTTTTTTCCCTTTTGGTTCTTCATAATATCTGGGAACTGTATTGTAAGGAATGTATAAGATGGTTCTGTAAAAATCAGCTCTGGGTTTCCTGCTACAGTTTCTGTATTGAGAATCTCTGATAACATCAAACTGACTGTAAATAATGAGTAGGCCTCTTATACAATTTTAGTATTACAGTTTTTCAGTCTGCTATTGCCACTATCTCTCTACTCCATTCTAACATTTCATTATTATTATGAAAGTATATTATATTTGATACAATTATATTAGCAGGAATTAAAGATCCTCCCCCTCCCTGAAAGACAAATTCATTAAATTTCCTTAAAAAATTATTCAAAAAGAAAGGAAATTCTAAAAGAATTCTAAAGACTTCTGTAAAACAAAAAGTTCTGTGGTAACTGGAAATACACAGAGAATTCCCTCTCATTTGGCTTCACAAGGGAAGGGGACAAATTCCAGATTGCTAAAAGAGAATTTTTGATTGCTATAATGGAATTTGCAAATGTGGAGTTTGGAAAAACTCTGTGGGACAGCAAACCTGAATGTGATAAGAAGATAATTTGTGACACTGACTACCTTCCCTGCCTTGCCTCTTGGTAAAACACAGTTTTATGATTGTTGGCCTCTCAGTGCTAAAATAAGCACCAAGTATTTCCTGAGAAGCTTGAGGAAAAGCCTCCAGCACAGCACTTTTTCTCTACTAGTGAGAATTTATAATAGTGTTTTGTCTCTTGAGAATAAATTGCATTTAAATGGCTCCTGTGTACACGCTGTGCTCCAAGGTGTCCCCGGGTCTGTGCCAGCAGCAGTTGTGACCAGGACCAGCCGTGTCCTTCCCCAGGCAGCACTTACAGGGCTGGCTGAGCCTCAGGAGGGGACTCAGGACAACTCCCCTGGCCAGGGGCCACAACACTGGGGGAAAGAGCTCCACTGGAACCCCACCACAGACCACTGTCCAAACCTGCCCCTCACATCCCTGCTGTGCTCTGAGACACGGCACTGTTATTTATATAATATTTTAAATCCTTACAAATATTCAGTTGCTGTTGGCTTATTTCCTCTTTATCCACTCAAGCCCTTGACACGCCACAGCTGTTCAAAGATTCTTTTTTAATCTTGAAATTATTTTCATATTTGAAGTTAAATTCAAACCCACACATACTCACCCAGGTTTTTGATTTTTCTCACTTCTTGAAAGCCCTGTGAAACTCAGATATATTCATTATGAATTTTCATCCATTTTGACATCAGATATATTCTTCTGTACATTTGATCACTGACAGAATGACACGCCTTTGCAAAGTCCCTTAACTAGCTTTTAGATTTGAACAATTTAATATCAAACATTTGGATTCAACACTCCACAAAATCCTGAGTAACTTCAGAAGTTTAAACCAAGACTTTTCATTCCTCTTCCATATTCCCAAATCACTTGTACAAAATAATGCCCCTCTGTTAGGAGCTCTGCTCTCTGAAACCCTTTGTATGTGCTGTGGCTGTATTTGTATTATCTCACAGTGTGTTCATTTCTAACCCAGCAGGTAAAGGCAAGGAGGAGCCCTGGAAATAAAACAGGAGAAATAAAACCTTTGTGCTTTTCTTTCACGTTCTTCAATACCTGTCTAGAAAGAGCCCAGAAGAAATGCACATTAGAAAGGCACACAGGAAAGCTGTCAAAGATTTTGATTAGGCAAAGAAAGAACCCAGAAAACACAGTCACACAAATATTTGCACTATGGGAATGTGGTAAGAGAGTCTCTCTCTGGTTATCAAGATAAATTATGTTGTAACTGCCATTTCTCTCATTCTCCAAGTTCTCAATGAAATTCAGCTGGCTAAAATCTCAAGCTGCCCAGACTGTGGTCTCTCTCAGGAATTGCTCTATGTAATAACTGTATTTTTTTTCTTTTTTTCTTTTTTTTTTTTTTTAAATTCATGCACTTTTATTCCCTCTCATGCAAAAAAAGAAAACATCTCATTCTGCAAGGGAAAATTTAAAGAATGAAATTCAACATTTACACCTTTTTATTCACTTATAAATCATGCTTTATGGCAGCAATGCATGGGATTGTCTATTTATTTCTTTTTCCACTAAACTGAGAAATTCTGCTTTATATTTTCTGCATTTTTAAAATACAACTGTGTTCCTTACTACCATAAACAACCAGTAACATCCAGAAAACCTGCTTAGCTTCTTACTGGAGTATATATCAAGCTGTTAGAATATTTATGTTGTGGAGTAGAGGGGACGTGGAATAATTACTTACTAAATGGAACATTTAGAAAGAAAATACAAAATCAAAAGCACAGAAACCCCTCCACCCTTTCTTTTCTGTCTTATTACCTACAATTTTCTAATAGATTGCCCATACAGATCAACTGATATAAATTATAAACTGTAAATTTAAATAACATGCTATATATTAGTAATTTCATATTTTTAACTTATAAATCATCTGGTCCTCTCAGGAAATACACTGTTACTGAAAAGATGTTTTACAAAAAAGAGTGGATTCAATAGGTATTGGAAGCTGCAGGATGCAAAGGATGCAGCACTGGAGTTTAATTCTGACCCTGGCTTATCAGAAAGTTAGTTATCCAAAGTATTTTGAATTACTAGAAAAATAGTATTTTCCTGAGACTGATAGGAACTGAGAAACTTTTTAGCACAACTGGAGAGAGTTTTTAACAGATAACCACAACACTGAGGAGCTTGCTGGAATCCCAGAGGTACCTCTGCCACTTTGTCACACTCAGCATGAATCATCTGTAAGAAAAATAGTAGTTGACTTACAGAGAATATTTTTCTATTGCATAAGATTTGCAAAGATTCAATAGGCTCAGGAGATAAGCCTAATCAATATAAAATAATTGTTTACACGTGGATTATTTAATTCTAAATATTATGTTTCTGTCAATAAAAATGAAAGCATAAAATAAAAAGCATCTGGAGTTAATAGGCAGAAATTTTTGGGGCCTCATTCACTCCTTTGTAGCACTTGACACATACATCCACTTCTGTGCAAACTGTAAGTAAAACAAAGATTGTGTACTCAGTGTTTCTAACAGCTATTTGCATTAATTTTATCTGTTACGTAACAGACACTGGAGAGAGCACGAGGTGAGAGGTGATATTTAATTGTTGATTCCCCTTTACAAGTTACACATGTAGCTTTATATGAGCATTTGTGTGGGCTCAGGAGATGATTGGAGTTTTGCTGCTCAAGATTTAATCCCCAGTATAGTTTTGTATGAATGCTGAACTCTTTCTGCACCCAGGCTGCTTAGTCATAGTGCAGTCAGGAACCTGATATTTAAACAGAGCAATCATAAAAATTAATCGAAAATCTTAATTATTAAAGATGATTAAGGCCTGAGAAAGGTCAACATTAAACTGATGTTCCCAGCGAGTTACTTCTTAACAAAATACTTTTTTTCAAACATCTGGATTCTTACAGAAATTGTAAACGACAAAGTCATTACACTTTGTACTTCTTTAGTAACTACTACAGGGAGTGACAGGAATTACAGAGAGAAGAATTATGCTAAATCCTTGAAAATAGTTCATTTTTACAGCTACCAGTCACTCATATTAGGTGGTTCACACATGAAGCTGATACTGTAAAGAAAAATCTCTAACTTACAGAGACAAAGCCAGTTCAGAACATTTGCAACTCAGCAGATTTGCAAAGTCCTTTCAACAGAATCATTTCTTTAAACCACCATAACCAGACAGAACTGTCATGTCTCTCTTAATAGCAGGTGACAAGGGTGAGTAACTGGAAATGCTCTGTAACCATTACTGGTACCACCAAATAGTGCCACCCTTTTGCACACTACCTTTCCATGCCAGCCACATCTACAATTTAGGTTCATAACTTTCTTATGCTAACTCCTCAGAATAAAAACTGGGGGCAAAACTCCTACAGTTCCCTGCTGAGCAAGTGAAACTTAACAAAAGTTAAATTTTAACACACAGAGCCATGACCTGCAGTGATCACAGAGCCAACATTCCTCTGGTTCTGTTCTGGGACAGGCACTGCCAGGGAAGCTCCAGCACAGATCGAGGCAGGGAAGTCTTTAACCAAGGTGCCAAGAAATCCCCCTACCTGGGCTCCCCAGATGT